AATATACACCGCACTCATGCCCCCAGTCTGTAAACTGGATGGGTGCTTACATTTGGGTATCAGTCATAACAGAGAGCCTTTTTAAAGAGAGGCATTCAAATACGTACCTGCAATCTCAGTAATGGCTTCTTATTCTAGTCATAAAAACTATGTGGGTGATTCCAGAAGTTAGGGGGCCATTTTTTTTTCCAATTTCCCTGTCACATCTGACATATAATTTTGCGTAAAGTTCAAAACACATGTTCTAATTTGCAAGAGTGGTGAATTAATTCAAATTACCCGCCAAACAATTAGTAATAGTTTGAAAATCGATGCCGGTGATATTTCCATGTCAAATGACAAAGGTCAGATGTAACAGGGACACAAAAATGTCACACTATCACCAGGCAGCACATGTACATGGCTGCCATCTTTGTGTGCTCACTGTACTTTCACCGAGTAAGAACTCAGGTTTTGATTGCACATAGAAATGCCGCCATGCACACATTCCATTACCAGAAATACTAGCAAAGGGCACGCGACGCCGGAGTCAAGCATGGTCATGAGAGACGATGCAATCGCCCTCCAACTCTTCGTTCCACAACGACCTACCGATTCTGTCGAACAGCTCTCCTCCGCTCATGTACTCGAGGAAGAGATACTGGATGCTGCCTTCCTTGCGCTGGCCGTAGAAACGGACGATGTGATCGTCGTTCATCATCCTGTGGACGCACACCTGCAGAAGGGCAAAGGTCACGGGCAGGCCAGGCGTTTAACAGAGGCACTGGAAGCAGTACTGCCCAGCTTTGCCTTATATAACGCTCATTGAAATGTTCCCTTAGAAAAGTTGATCTTTCTCTCAGGTGCCCTTTGCGGACGAGAAGTTGCCTTTTCCCTTCAGGAACGAAGTCCCTGCCCTAGCCAAGGGTCCATGATTAATCTAAAGATAACTGTGGCTGTTTGGAGGAAGACTATGGTTACTGCTTCGCACCATCTCGGTGCACAACTCTCGCCATGAATATTTGTCCACACCTTTTGGTAGTGGCTGAAAGCAAAGTTAGCAACTGGGGCTACTCCCAAGGAGAGCGTGCTCCTGTTAGCCACAGCCACAATTTCAGCCAAGCCTCGGAGCTAATGATTACTATTACAGAAAAAAGGCCTCTGGAAAAGAGTTTTGTATCCGGCCAGCATGATTATCAACATGCGCCAACAAGTTTTTAACATATGACATAGAGCCAACTTTTCCACCAATAATTTCTGTCGATTGAAAGCTGAATGGACTTGTCTTCACTGAAGATACAAGGATGATCGGCAATGGAAGCTGTTTAGTGGGGAGGAACTCTTCCCAATAGCAATCAGTATTTTTTTTTGGGGGGGGAAAATTCTCCCGCATCTGGGGTAATGCTAAAACGAAACTCTGGCTCCAAAGAAGTACGTATCATCAAAATTGAACCACAAAATACTTTTTTTGGGGGGAGGGTGTGAGCATTTGTTTTCAGGAGGTGAAGGGGTTGGGTTGGGGTAGAGGTCAACTTACCTCTTTCCGGACATTTTCTAAAGCCCCTTTGGCTTTATCTAGAATGAGTATCTTCACAGCAACGGCCTCCTGAGTGCTACGGTTGACAGCAAGCTTCACCCTGGTAAGGCCAGACATGAGATGTCTAATGTTCAGCTGCTCTGAAGTCTGGTTCCCTATACCTCAATCAATACTCTGAGTATTAACTACTATGGCACAGTAGCAGATCTGAGACACGACAATGTCCTGTTTATATTTCTTGTGCACTTTCTGGGTCCATAGGAGACAAAGCGCGCTGCCTCATTACACCAACATCAACAGGTCTGTTGGCCTCAGCTATGTTTAAAGGGCCATCATGGTCATTGAATTCACTTGTAAATTTCAATTTTTATTTGTCTTTACCTGAAAAAAGGACACAACAAACACTCAACCAAGAAATTGCATGCATATTTGACTACGCTGATGAGGTATCCCAATTGTGAATTACGGCATTTAAATCCTTGTCGACGTTGGATGTGATTGATCAATCAGCGTGATCGGTGAATCTTTGCATCATCTCAAGCTATGCTTAGCTCATCCGCCAATTCACCCCCCCATAAGCCTTTTGCGAGTTAACTTTGCCCTATATCAAGCACACCGAGTTCTCCAAATTCATGTGAACATAACTAGTTGAATTCTCCATACTAAAACCACTGTTGCTATACCTTGTGATTCGGGGCAAGCTGTTGCTTAGTTTGACGCCTTGCAACAATACACTGTTCTCAATGGATAAAAAGGACATCAGGAACCAGTCCATTCCAGAGATGGTGGTCGCTATGCAAAAGCTTGCCCCGAATCACGAGGTATAGCAACAGTGCCTTTAGTCTGGGGAATTCAAATTGTTATGTTTATGTGCAATCTGTTAACTTAGTGTACCAGATTTTAATCAAATTTAACTTGCAAATGGCTAATTAACTTTTCTCTCTGATTTGCTGTTGTGAAAGACTTTTTTGGAATTGGGGTGGATGGAGGCGAAGATTTCATGCTGATAGTACAGTGTGATCACGCAGTTGACTGATCACACCCCACCTCAACATGAAGTATCCCGAGTCCAGTGGGTCTAAACATGGGAAAAGCAAGGGACTCACTCTCCATAGGCGCCTTCGCCGAGTGTCTGCACAAAGTCCCAACCTTCAACAAACGGAGTCACCATAGTTGACTTGAAATATTTATCTGGATAAAAAGGACATCTATGAGATATGACAATAACTACATGTAGCAATCAACTTATGAAGCATAACTACACGTAGCAATCAACTTATGAAGCATATATGTACAAGCTGGGTGCAATCAGTCTAAATCTGTGCAATTTCTCGATCTTTGCACAATCTGTTGATCTTACTGCATGACTTTCCGATAATTCTCTCCCCAGCCAATTGCCTTTTCTAAGTTGGAGCTTTTATGGAACCTGGAGGATTGGCTGAAAGCGCAATGCTCGAGCACGATCATGCTTATCGACTTATTACAACCACCACACATCTGATATTACTTGCAGTCGTGGGTCTTCCAAACTGATGCTAACATGCCTAAGCTACTACTGAGAGGTTGAGAGAGTGGTACAATCAAGTCCTAGCATATCTAGCATGCTTTGACAGCTACACGTATGTAGCAGTAGAAGCCGTCCATGACTGTACATGTATTGTCGCCAGGACCCTCATTTCACCACCTATTATCAAGTCTGATTGGTCTCCACAGTAAGGGACCTTTCAACTATACGGTTACGGACGTTAGGCTAACCATATGTGTGTAGGCCCACTCTCAGCATGCTCAGTCCATGCCTACTAACTGTGCCTACTTGTAACAATGACAATTACAGATTGAAGCTCAATTGAAGAATACCCAGCTAGCCCGCATGATCAACCTCAGCCAGGTAGGCCTACAAGTCAGAGTGACACACTCTTCTCAAGGGATTTTCACCTTGCCATGCAATGTTCAGATGTACCATGTGTACCCACGTAACCAGTCATTCCAGGGGTCGTTTTTAGAGTGGTGGGGTATTCTGCAATTAGGCCTACTCCCAGATGGAATAATAGCATTTTTTAGTTCGATGACTGATCTGCCAATACACACACTAATAAAAAGCATACAGGCCTAGGCCTATCCATCACCCATCAGGCATGTCATCCATCAGACATGTCAGATTTTAGCCTTCTTGGCCAGTCGTCATGGTCGGTCACCAGTCATGCCAGTGTGAAAAGTAACCGGGAATTTCGTGTCAGAATAAAAATGGTCAATCGCAATTTGGCACAACAAATAACCTCTTAACTGAAAATATGCAAAAGGTTTGTTTCACAATAGTTTGGCCCTAGAACTAGTTTAGATTTGTTGAACTTACATTGCTTTTAAAACTCATAGTAAATCACACGTGAGAATATGCAAAAGGTTTGTTTCACAATAGTTTGGCCCTAGAACTAGTTTAGATTTGTTGAACTTACTTTGCTTTTAAAACTCATAGTAAATCACTCGTAATCGCACGATGTAAATGGTAAGAACAGCGAAAAACCCGCGATGCATGTGGCATGCTTTTTGGACTACTACATTAATATTTAGGGGATAAAAGTATGTGCAAATAAAACATCAACACTCCTAAAACCCACTACTTTGTTAAAAACGCCGTTCATTATAATGAATTTTAAGTCCATTTATATGGTAAGAAATAACAACAAATCACCTTTTTATTAAAATGTAACTAAGCAATATACCATTTTCTGCTTTGCATTACCCTTTCCTTTAATTAATAGGATGGTCCTAGGGAGTCGGATGCCCGTCATACACTCACGTCAGTCCACGTGCGTAACGAGTTTTTGCATCTAAAAGCAGTCTGGGGCAAAGACCTGCGAAGGACGTTGTGATAGGGCGCCATCTATTTTTTGCTATAAGGTTTTTTAGTACAGTGTACATGTATTCTTTGGAGACAACCGGCGGATTTTTATTTGTCCCTGCGCAAACTGTTTGAACGCGCCACAATCTATTTATTCTGTTTGCCTTCATCAAAAAATGGATCGCACTATTAATTGTACACTGATAGTGACTAATAGGACGATGGAAAGCGCTTGGAAGATCGATTTGGTTCTGAATTTATTTATTTTTTTTGGGGGGGCAGGGTTTTTGGAAAGGTTATACCTAGTGTTTCCCCTTTGATCTTTGTTTCTCAGAGACGCCAGTCTACGTCTGAATTTCATTCTGTTTTTCCCCCTTTTAAGAGCTACATATTTCCCCTTTGATCTTTGTTTCTCAGAGACGCCAGTCTACGTCTGAATTTCATTATGTTTTTCCCCCTTTTAAGAGCTACATATCCTGGGGCAATCTTTTGCAATGAAAATAATAAAGAAACAAACAAAAAAACAGGAGTGGTACAGTATCGAATTAGAAACCAGCATATTGCGAAAAACTGTCGTTTTCCCGTTGGCAACTATTTTCTTTATTAATAATTAAGGTTAAATTTCAAAGCTGGTCTATGCATGAAGATGCTAGTGAGACAATCGATCTGAGAATCTTATACAGTGGTTTAACCAGTGGTTAGCCTTAGGGGGCTAAAATTTTCCAAAAAGGCACCACAAGCAAAGTAAGCTGCAGCTGCCTCACAGCGGGGACATGACCACAATATTTCCAATGAATGCTGGTACCCTGGGAGCACGAGCATTCAGGTGTCCCCTTGCCCGCCCCTCCCGCAGTTACGCCACTGATTTTTATCCATCAATCGTTACACCATCCCCGCTTGCATTCGTACTTAATCTACTTCACGGTCTAATTTAGCATCATAAACCAAAATTATTGACTTTTCAAGATTTGTTCTCGTTCAACCCCTCTCTTACAGCTACTGGGAGTGAACTTCCGTTTACATCGTCAAAGTTCCAATACTTTATGAGACTCAAATGATCAATATCAAAACAATCCAAGTAGACGAGGAATCGAGCAGAACTCAGTTGTGGATGCGAGCTGTGACACACTTGATGAATGGATGAACACTTAAATACACAAAACAACCAAATTCCGTGGCAATTAATTTCGGCTGAGTGCTTTCACACTAATGTTTCCGAACAATGTTGGAATGACCTGTGCCTCATCATTTAGGGGAAAAGTTTTAATTTAAATTGTGCTCTCTGTTTGTAACCCAGACATAATTGTTATTCACTATCAAAAAGAAATCTCCGTTTTAAAAAATACAACGGAAATAAAATCTATCAGCTTCTCCTAAAAGCTTGTTAAGTGTTCAGTTAGGCTTGTTATAATAATCTTATTGAAATCACTAACGTCCTATAAAATGTAACTACCAAACTTGTACATAGAATTTTGTATAAAAGATTTCAAATTAAACTGAAACGTATAGACACTAGCGCTATAAGTTATTGTTCTAATATTTCGACTGCTAAGTAATACGCTTTCATAGTTTGTAAAAATGAAAGTCACTGTGTCAAGATTAAACCCACAATCAAAGCAAAGCGCATAATTAATTAATAAGGGAATAAGTCGCGAAGAACAAAAATTATCTTCAAAAAGTACTTTCCAAGACCTTAAAAACACGTACATGTACAAAATATATTCTTTCTTATAAGCCTGTAATATTTCAACTTTACAAAAAAATAAAGTAATTCATAAAAACGGTTTAAGATTTCATAAATGTACCACCGAATGAGTTGAAGTCTTTCTGCCCCCTCAGTATCCACAGGCACGTAACAAGCAGATTATAAGCGTAAAATGCAAAGCAATGCATAATTATATAATAGTATTATTAGATTATTCGGAGCGGTATTCACGTGGCACTGATTAGACAAGCAACGTGACGTTTCACAAAGCTTTCGTTGGTTCATAAACACAAAGACAAAAACTGACTGCACGATATAGTCAAACCTATCACCAACCGTGTCCATAACCGTTTCTCGTGTCAATAATGTGGGTTACACGGGAGAGATGCTAACCAGAAAGCTGTGCACTGGCTTAATGCTTCCTGTGAAGTCCAGTGGAAGGATGATGACCCCTTGTATCCTCATCACCAAAGGCTGTTGACAGCCACTGCCTTTGGATTCGCAATGAACGCAAACCAGTCCTCCAAGCCAGCGGCTGAACATTAAAACTATGAAAAACTAAATTAAAGTAAGCCAGGGTTTACAGCCAAAGACTCACAAACTGTATACTTAAAACCCAAACTAGGCTCATGTGTTGGAACTTAGGTTGTAGCTTAATAGGTATATCACATAAAGTACCAGATAAAGCTCTAATCGAAAAGCTGACTGGTTTCCGGCATGATACGAGGGAATAATACAAGGAGTTTCGTTCAACTTTTACTTTGGCATTTCAGAATTTCTGTGTGTTTTTTTTAAGGTACCTATATGGAAAGACGCTGCGGTGCGATAGTAGCAATGATAATGGTCTTTAAGAGCTGACTTTTCATAATCGTAAGTACAAAAAGCCTTCAGAGTGTAAAAGCATTCTATAGTGGTGGTGGGGAATCACATTATGAAGTAAAAATTCACTTCAATGTTGCTCTGACATGAAGTTCCATTGGTCTGTGCCCGGAATATCAAGCCCAAGAAAACGGTTGCTCTCCTATGGACTAGCGCGTCCTGGACAATATAAATTAATCAATGCTGTGGAATATAATGCACACAAATGGAAAACAAATCCTAACATTCTGCACCAAGGTTTACTTCCTAACGAGGCCAAATTATAAAAAAGTAAAATTCCATTTTTTTTTTACTTTCCGCTGATCCCTGTATAGGCCTACTTTGATTGGTACTTGCTTTGATAGCTTTTGTCATCTAACAAACCGGCCTATACGTCTTTTTCCCTGTGATTAAAAACAATTCCCACTTCTGCACAGGGGTTTTATACGGGCTGCTAGTTACAAAATTCTGCTTAGCGTGTTCAACACTGCTCAGACAAAACATATCGCCAGTACAAAGTCATTCCTGTATTCTGTACTAAATACATGACCAGGCGTTCGGCGATTTCTGCTTAGCATAAAAATATACCAAACGCTTTTCCCCCAACGTTTTAGTAGCCCCCCTTTTTATTTGGCCTGGGTATTCAAAAGTCATCGGCTGTGTTCACGCTCTTCGTTTGGTTAGGCTCTAGGTACAGGTAATCGTCTCTATTGAGGTCTGCCATGACCAGGTATCCCTACAAAAACAAGAGAGAAAGGAGTGGAGATATTAGTAATTAACGTCAAGGAATTCCACATAAAAATATTGAAAGGCCTCATGTCGATATCGTGTTAATTACACAGCTGCTTACTGCACACATTTTGTTTTCAGTGAAGGCATCCTTCGTGTACATGTATCTAGTCCGTCTAAGGTCCTATTTACCTAGTCAAGATGCATTGCAGAATTCATAACAATCATACCTATTTTAGCGCAACTACACTGCAACAACTTCATGCAGTGATAAGAAACTGTTCCATTCCAACAGGCGAAGCAAAGCAGAATGGATGCTTCACCGCTCATAAATATTCTTTCCGATGCACACAAAAATGTGACGCATCCTTTATTTGTTTGTATACAAAGCCAGGAAAAATTTAAAAAACAAAAAATCCTGTGACGTGATCACGACGAATGCGTACAACTTCTTTTTCTTTGGTGCAACCCTGCAGGGAGTTGGGTTGAATACTTCAGTGATACTTTATCAATAACCGATTAGATGACAGGTATATATTCAGATGACGGGGATATACCCAGGCTTTGTTGAGTAATTCAATTCCGAGAAATCAGACTTATCAATTATTCATTTGCCGTTTCATTCCCTTCTTTTCAGACTTAAAATCGTTGAATTCCATTATGCTCCTTTGAAATCGCCGGCAGTCATCTGCATGATCACCTTGTTGGAGAATTGAATTTAGCCGAGAAACAAACCTACATGACAATTTTGTCAGTTGTTTTCCATTTGTTATTGCAACCAATGAATTCTCGGCTGGCGTGATTTGCGTGGAATCCATTTCTATGCAATACAGATTGCAAGAGCTGTGATATCTAGAGATCATTGAATGTCAAAACAAAAAAGTTTGTTCCACTTACACTAGCGTCCGCCAACATGTTGTCCAGTAGTTTACGTATTTCAGTAAATGTTGGCCTATCCTCTGGCTTGTCGTTCCAGCATTGTTTCAACATGTCGTAACTATTGAGGGAACAGGAAAGCGCTTTAATGAAGTAGGTCCGTAAAGACATGCAACCATGGAGAATTATTTCTCCATGATGCAACATACAACTTTAATCAACAGAATTAGCCCCAGGCTGTGTTACACGTACATGGATGGCATGTTAGAAATAACACAGGCGCGCGAAGCTGACAACTACAGCGCCTTCAGACGTCTTTGACGTGTGCGTCATACGTGTTTGAGCCCTTATCACTTGATACGGAGCGGCTGTGATTACATGACTAGTGCGTAGGCCGATTACTAAAATGAATTCGACAAAGCCTTGACAAACGTTCATGAAATATAAGAACGTGCACCCACTCCACGTTGTAAAAATTTGTTCTCGATCACGGGACAAGGATATTGAAACGGCTAGGTTAACGGTGTCAGAAGTGGGATTTGATTATTTTGACGGAAAAAATGCACACCGGTAGAATTTCTCTAAAGAGTTTGTGCTTCTACATTGGGCTGTCCTGTGAAAGGTCCAACCTTTTCGATGGAAGTTAACCACACATTCAAAAAGGAGACCCCACAACGACCCGTACACAAACTAAGCAGCCTCGCTTGGGAGAGGATTCTACTCAGACTTCATTTTTTGTTCACATAAAGGCACAGTTTAAGTACAATCAGTGAAGAGGACGCAGTCAATCCTTGCACATGTCAAAATCAACAAAGTTGACTATGGAACATCGCAGATAGCCGTTAATACCCCTAAACCGACATCTTCCCATCCTCGACAAATCCCAAAGTGTGTAGATTACAAGATATCAAGTCGAAAATCAGTATAGCCTGGTTGAAAAGAGATTTTTCTTTCTTCAGGGATGCCCAAAGACAGCTCAAGAAGATCAATAGGGAAAAGAGGACGCTGAAATACTCCTGATATGAAAACAGATAGACAACATGGCCCAGAAAAAAGCCCAGTGGAGGTCACTTCTGGATGAGCTAGTCCCTTTCAGGAGGCAGCAGGGTTTAAGCTAGGGCATCTCGACTTACATTTCGTCACTGCAACTCTCGGGCTTGGGTAGCCTGTAGCCGGTGGTGATTTTGTCAATGACCTGCTTGGATGACATACCCGGGTAGGGATGTGAACCTGATTGGAGCAACAAAAGCAATATGGTTATCATGTAAATCTTCATCTCACTACACTTCATCTCGATACGAAATCCATTTACATTTTTAAGTCGTTTGCACTAGGCTTCGTTCAATTAAATACAAGAAGGTTCGCCAGCTGATTGGTAATATCTAGCCCTTTAATATCTAGCCACTGTAAAAACGAAAAATCTTTCCTCAAGTGAGTACCCAATGTCTTACTCTTTGAAAGAGGAGTTGAATGCTAGTTGACGGTGAGACAGTATAGTTCTTGATTGCATTTTAGTTTTGATCTAAAATCCGCTCTTGGATTAAATTATGTCCGTTCGTAGTATACTGTCTCCCAGTAAAAGTCCATTTTACGCAGGGGTATAATTTCATTCGCTACGTCACAAGCACCTTTTTCTGCCAACAGTAATTGAGAAAACCGTGGCTAGCCGTATGTAGAAAACGAAGAGAATAAGTTGTGCAGTGCTTAAAAATTTTTAAACAAATATTAAAGTACTAATTATTAAAGTACTAAATATATTTGCTAAATGGAGATGCCTCCCAATTTAACATCGGCAATGTAAAGTGTGCATTTTGAGTGACATATTGTTGGCAACCGAGACTGATCTTTCTGCAAACTTTGGCCGTCCATTAAAAAAGATTTCTATCAAAGTTTGTAAATAAAAGAAAATTCTCTAGACAAGTACAGTGTCATTACTGCAGTGGCACCGGACTCATGCGCATGCGTTTTGTACAGTACGTTGGGACACCATAATGAAGGAAGAGGCATGTATAATGGACATACCACACGCATGCAAGGGTGGAGCTATTTTCCTGTCACTGAATTATTAATTACTGGTACATACCCAGAGTCACGAGTTCCCATAGCATGACAGCGAACCCCCACACGTCGCTCTTCGTAGTGTAGATGTTGTCTAGCAGCGACTCGGGCGCCATCCAACGGACGGGTACCCGCCCGTGAGACTTCATCTCGTACGAGCTGGAGTCCTGCACGTCCCGGGCCAGTCCGAAATCAGACACTTTGGCAACCAGGTCCTCGCCGAGGAGAATGTTGCGCGTGGCCAAATCACGATGAATACACTGAGAAAATTTGATATCATCAAAGTATGATAAACTAAACAGTTTGAAACGAAACGGACAAAACAAAAATGACACCACTTAAGGTAACTGACACTTTTCACGACTGGAGGTCTTCAAGGGCGAAGTCAAGTTATCATTTTCAGGGTCAATAAGAATCGTAGAGATAGAATGGTAGCTGAGGGCAGACCAGGGACACCCATAGTTAACAAATGAACAGTTTCCCTAATACTCGATTATAACAACAAAATGTTCAACTTTTTGGCCACGGTATCTACTTATTGCGAACGACCAGAAGCAGAGTTTCAATTGCCATTTCTCTTGGTCCTAGAATCATTCAACAATACAGTGCTATATTCAATGTGTATTTTGCTAACTTTAATAGGTGGTTACCGAAAGCTTTCGTTTTAAAATTCGAATTTTGTTGAACTTGTTTTCAAAGGACCCACCGATTTAGAAGCCAGAAACTCCATCCCGCTGGCAATCTGCATGGCAAACGACAAGATCTCAGCGGGTAGGAGATAGTTCCTCTTCTCCTCCCGGATCTCCTTTAGCGAGAAGTACTGCTCCTTGGCCCCAGTCCGTATGTGTCGCAGGTAGGTCTGCAGGTTCCCGTTCGGGAGGTATTCCATGATTAGGAAGAAAGGTTCTGAATGGGGCCCAAACAAATACATGTATGTGTTTCAATGATGCTGCAACGGAGGTTGTCAGCAATGAGCCTCGAGCTGAACCAAAAGAGGGCGCAGTATCCTCAGCAAAGGAGGCTCCTATGGTCGGAACTGAATTTCGCTGGTTCACGAACGACTATGAAATGCACGCATTAGGTTGCATCGCTATCAACAAAATGAACACTCCCGACCACCGTGGCTTTTTTCAACCGATGAGGGGGTGCTTCTGCTCGAGGTGGATAAACCGGTTCTGTTGTTGTGAGGCAATAAAGTTATATTGTGCACCGATTCAGTCGTGTCAAGGAAGGCCACGACGAGATTATCGTACGTAGAGATATGAACACGAGCACATCCTGCCCACAGTGTCACAGGGAGGAACTTTACGGTGTATGGTACATCGACATCTATATCGAACTTAGGGGGTTTAAAGAGAGAGTGATACCCATTACGGCGAGTTTACTGTTTGTGATTCCAAAACTTGCTGCTGACAAAGTTACAAGTTGGAGAATCTTCTAAAGCCATAAATATTATACTCAACTCGTGTGTTCGTTTATCTACTTAGTTATGTACATTCATCCTGGCCTGGATGGATCCAGAGGGCAGAGAATTTACTGCGGCCCTCTTTGGAAGTTGCTACCAACTTCCATCTTGATGTTTCCTCTCACCTTTTTCGGTGCAGAAGCCCAGCATTGTGACGACATTGGGGTGGGTGCCCAGGTTCAGATACATGCTCCGCTCTTTCTCGAAGTCTCTCTTGTCTCCTTCTGTCGCCGTGGCTGAAGGAGAGAACAACGGGTTTTATCTCGGTACTATACTGGACAGTCAGGGTGACCAAGTAATGAGGAAGCCCAAGGGAAAAAAGTGAGCAACAGGGGTGGGGAGTAAGTAAACATCTTAGAATCCTGTGCCCCTACAACTGTTCGGAAAAAGCTAGAGGTTAACGCCAGCCGTATCTGTCAAAAAAAACGAAACAAAAAACAACAACAACAAAAACCTGGGCCTACTTTTCAGCATCTTCACAGCGACCGTGGTCATGACTCCCTTTTTGACGATGCCGTCCGCTTCGGCTCTGTGAACTGTCGCGAACGAGCCAGCTCCCAGCTGTTCCATCACGTGGAGTCTCTCCCTCGGGAACTCCTTAGGTTTACCATCGGGTTCGTAAGTCATACTGTTGGGCCGTCTGGCTACCGGAGGCTCTTTTCCATTGTCTACTCCAATGTAGTCATTACTTCTTCTCTGTGAATAGGACAAGTGTAGGCCTATACATAATGCAAGTGCCAACAACATAATGAAGTAAAACTGCACTTTGTGTGGCCTAAAATTTATGTGATTCAGTGATAAAATAAACAACACAAGGGTATTAAAATGTTTTTCTTTAGTTGCAGCCATAGCCAAGACATCTCTTTTAGGTGGGCAGACCATCAACGGCTTCGTCAGTTGGTTGGTGGTTGGCTGGTGCAGCGTGAGTGAACACACATGGAGTCGTGCTTAATAGCGTAGAATGCTTAAGATTGTTGTGGGGCGTTTGAAATTATGGGAAGGGGGTATGTAGAGGAGTGAGTGAGAAAGGTGGGGTAGGAGTGGGCATGAGGGCAGCCCCGACGAAGTTCCAATCTGCGTAAAGTAAGCCAAAGAGAGACCATGTGTAGCCACCTCCAGCAAATTTGAGTGAGAATTTCGCATAGAAGTAGGCTATTCATGGTTTGATTTCCACAGGGCTTATGGGGCTGGAAGTCCGAACCGGTGAGGGCTGGTTGGACCGCAGCGGCGGATCGAGAGGCCGATCGGAATTCTACCCTACTGGCCAAACGGGACTGCAGACGACAGTGGTGCCCTCCGGCAGTCCAACAATACAAAGCACGCTTACCACATTGCGGTTGCCCAGCTCTAGTTCTCCGCCCACTCCTGATTTCCGGCGTCTCTTCATGGCCAGGCGCCGCCTCAGCAGCAGGAGAGCTACGATGACCACGAGCAGGAGGATAATCACGACGAGAACGACGACAATGACTATGACAGTGATGTTGGTTGCCGCTTGGGAGGGGAAGAAACAGGTTTAAAGTGAATACTATAAAGAGATAGGTCACCTGTCTTCCTGACAATGTGCACACGGTATGTGACACTTGCTGCGTATACATGTAGCCGGGGGGGTTAAAAACTACATCCATTCCAATTCTTAATACATGTATCTGTGTTCAAATCCAATGAGCAAGTTAGGCATCATAATTTCAAGAGCGTGTGCTCCGAAACGAAGCTAAAGTAAGAGATCATTCGGACGCGTGTGCGAGGTCTGCCCATCAGCACGACCCTACGCTGACTCCTGCCCGTGGCTTGTTCCCAACTCAAATAGCTCAAATGGACTGATCACCCTATATGCAAAAGGATATACGAAAGCAAAATTAAACAGCAGCGTATGGGAAAGATGTAATGTAAGTTGTGTCTTACCATCCTGACACCTCGCTCCCATGAAGCCAGCAACGCAATCGCATACGCCAGATGTACCACACCGTCCACCATTCATACACTGGCTATCAACCGTGCAGGCTGGGGGGTAATCGACCAAATTGATTAAATGTTATTTACAGTAACTGACGAATCCTAATTCAAAAAACAAGTTCGGAGTTGCGTTTGAGCACAGTTTTTTTTTTACATTTTAAACTTTTTCGTCCAATTCATGATTTCGAATATTCTTCTTGCTCTTGGAAATTTTTGTGTCAACATTGGTAATTCAGTCGAATCGCCCTGTTTGGACAGCGTGTCGTACAAATCATTAAATTACAACTTAAATGTCGTCTAAGCCGGTGCCGAATGGCAGCGTTCACAGTTCGAAGCCGTCGTGTATCAAGGTGGCTTTCTAAAAAAGTTCAAGTACAAACAAAAGAGGAACAATAGGGGTCCCCAGTTGCAGGCAAATACACACTTGGGTGTGCTTCAGTATTTGCCTGTGTCCTCACACAATTCAGTGCACCAGACTAGCAAATGAGGTAACAGTTATTAGCAAGACCCCGAAACACAAGGCTCGTTTAGTTTAAGAAAATGGAAAACGAGAGCAATAAAACAATACCAATGGGCTATTGCTATTAATAAGCATATCGATGAACCTGATGATGTTCCTGCTACTTTTATATGGCACTTGAATGAGTCACGCATGTTTTCAAGGATATTAATATGAAAGAAACCAACAAGACATATATAAATTATAAAAAAAACAAAACAAAACAAAAACAAAACAAAAAAACTGACGAAAAGAGAAAGTGTACACCATTATGCCTGTTCTGAAGGGCACAATGAAGTCTGAAGACACTGGTCAAAGTGGCCACCATTAAACTGTGTGCTAAAGACAAATTTGTTTTTTGGAATGGCACAGCTCTATGATAAGCAATACCAAATGTGCGTTAAAACGTTTGAAAATGTGACAAATGGCAGAATTACAGCACTGGGAGTGTTGAAACGATTCTGCGGCATTTTGTATAAAAATCAACAATACTTCCATGATTAAAAGCAAACTCATGATAAGCGCAACTGATGTCTGCTTACTGATCGGTTTTCAGTTGGCCCCTAAACTGCCTGCCTGGGCCTACCAATTTGACAAAAACGAATGATCCAATATTTACCTATTTCACAGAAAGTCCCTTGGAAGTTGGAAACACACTCGCAAACTCCATTTTCATTACAACGACCGGAGTGGAGACAATCGTTATCTCCCCTACACATCTCTGCAGCTTCTAGGATTGCATTACACAGGGTGAAAGATGAAAAAAAGCATGTCGTGTGTCTGTTCTCTCGTCTTTTTCTTCAACATTCTGTACACAAAGATCGTGCGCCAAGTGTTTACAAAATCTTTTTACCTGAGTGGGAACAAACCAAATTTAGTGCTTTACAAATACGATACCGTAATTATTGGCAAATTTTGTAAAAATGGTAACGCCAACCTTAGTTATTGGCGCCTTGCCAGTGATGGTTGGCATTGTGATAAATACTACCACTTGAAACGGCTCACCTACACAGACACCAAACCGGCATGAAGATGGATTCATCAGGAATATATAAGTAAAACGCCTCTAGATACGTTCATAGAGGAAATCTCTGCCGCGTGCAGGGATGGTCACAGTTGCACAGCCCGGTCAAGGGTGGCAAATCCATCATAGAAGACTGAACACGGTCTGAGCACATGGTCTTGTGGCGTTTTTCTTCCCAACTTCGCATTAAACACTGCTCTATTCGTCACCATAAAAAGGGCTCTTTTTTATTTCATTAAGATAAAAGTACGCTCCGCGGTGACCCGATATGCTCGATGTTGGCCTGAATTCCATATCTGCTGAAGTCAATGCCACTATTTGGCGTTAATGCCATCACAAATATAACTAAGGCATAAGTACCTGCTCCACACCTCGGCCCACCGAATCCTTCTGCGCACATACAAACCATCATATCTGTGCAGGTTCCTCCATTTAAACACTGGCTGCTACTTGAACAACCTGTGTCAAATGAAAACAAATTTGTATGAAAGATACAAACATGTTTTTTTTCTCTCTCTCTTTCTCTATCAGGAAGACAGTATCTTATTCAAACACACGAAAATCGATTAAAGTTTAAGACGTAGACATTAGAAAGTCATCGCAGTTTGTAAACCCCAATCCTGCCTATTGAAATGTTTTGGATCAAAGGTGCCAAATGCTTATTACCATGTTCTGAAAACAGCATGGAACAAAACACACACTGCGTTTAGGCCCTTTACTAATTTTTTTAGTTCGTACACCAACATTAATACCGTCACTTTCCCGTGGCAAACAGTCTTGTAACTGATTTATTTTGTATCTGTCTGAAACGATGCAGAGAGGGCGTTTGAGTGCGCTCATTAGGTCACGTGTCATCACACAGACGCTGATGACAGGTTTGGGCTCATTTTCCCGCCCATTGCCACTCATAAGGCCAACTTATAAAGTTCGGATGACCCCCCCCCACAAGGCAGATATGTTGTTGGAGTCTTAGTTTGCGTATGCGGCTTAGGATATAAAGAGACTAAATGGCTTCACTCATTCAGACACTTACATGTGGCATCCCCCTCCTTATAAGGAAGAGAATCCCCCCACGCGAGAAATCTTTGATCCACCCCTGTAAACCCAATGATAGTCGATCAGTCACGTGGGGCCAGTATGTTTGCCGCCACCAAGCGTTTCACAGTATCCCTCTGGTACGCTAAAGCACTTACCTCTTTGGCACAGATTTCCTGTGTACGGCGCCACACAACTGCAGGCATCCATCTCACATGCGCCGCCGTTTAAACAAGGATTCGTATTGGAACAGTCAACTACAAAATACAGAAATAGACACCGTTTAGCAAGGCTCACACGTCAAAAGCATTGTCAAAACATTACACAACCATTAAAAAGTGGAATAATGCGTTTGAAGACGTGTGTTCTTCACATTGAATTTGATACACGAGACAGAATTGCACAATCAAGCAACTGAATGAAGGCTTGGTGTCTTGAGGTTAATGTGTTCACCTATTCTCAATGACGTCAAATAACTGACAAAGAACAAAAAAGTAACCGAAAAATTTCACCAATTTTAAAAATCTTGTACCAAAGCCTGTATCTTGAATAGCAAGTGTCTATGTCAGAGATTTTATTAGGATGGTTTTATTTCTCTATTATCTTTCTGCTATGTGTTTATTTTTTGTGTGTTCTTTTGGAGGATATGAAGACGAATAAACCTACATTGTTTTGAATTGGAACTATTTGTTTTACTCATTAATGCTAAACTAAAACAAACCAAGCCTACATTTTTTTTCTTTTTGTCTATTTTAATTAAGAACGTAAAAATGTAGACCCTACGTGCCATGATTAGCACTGGGCATCAAGTTGCGGTGAGCGAAACCAGCCCATTTATTTTCATCGATACATAAAACTGCAATAAAAGTAATTTCTCTGTGCTGCCTCATGTTAGCAATGAGTTAGGGAGGAGTCAATGACATCTTATGATGTGCTTTCCCCGACTTTGAATGGAGGATTGCTTTTATCAATATCACTGTCTCTGTTTTGTTTTAAAAAGTCACGTTTCTTATTGAAGTCCATCAATGTCGTTGGTTCCTTCAGTGTTTGTACGCTGTCATCGTTTTATTGGATTTTGGTCCTCGTTATCACGCGTTTGTGGCCTCGATCTCAAACCGGCCATCGGTATGTGGCAATTATTTTGCCACAGTGGCGATCAACGCATTCAGCAAAACTTTGCCAAGACAGCTTCATTTATTGGTCACTGTTTGCACGGGAAATAGAAATGTGGGCAGAGCTCCAAGAAACTGTAGCCTGCTTTCGGTGAGAGTGGTTCGTTGCAGCGAAATGTATTTGGGCCTAATCGCTGCACTGCACATACGTCGTTACCTTCACGTTCCAGTTGCCAAAGTCACGTGCTGTTGCCAATATCATGCAGTACTGGCGTTATTACAGTATAACGCCGCTATAAAGAACACCATCCACAGAATGTTCGGTGCAGTCGATCGGCAGTGCAATTTGTAGCCACTAAGGCACTCGATTCCAATTCCCACCCATTCAAACGTTGGCGGCCTGTCTCATAAATGTTTCAGCAATAATGATTTTGGGCTAACACGCGTAAAACAATCTTCTTAAATTTTAATTCTTTAAGTTAGTTTTAGTTCAAAGTGCACGTATTATGATTTCTTCTCGTGTCTCACCTTTTGGGTAGTTTTCATTCATACGAAGTCGAATTACAAAATGAAATCATGTTTCACGGAAGTTTTTATTTGAGTCATCAGTTAAAAGTTGCTTGCAACATGGACTAATTTCATGGCACTGGAACCAATGCCCTTTCGGCAATTTGAGGCGTTGTCAATTGAAGTCAAATCTGTCATTAATAATACACGAAAATACGTGCGAGTTACGCCACAAAGGCCAGCCTGTCTTTCTACCTTTGCATTTTCTGCTTTGATTTATAAGTTCCTTTTTGGGGAAGAGAATCGTTGACTCGGAAGAGACAATACAAACAGAAAATCCGAATCAGAGTTGCCGTGTTGCATGCACGTTTACTAGTTGCACGTGAGGTATGGCGGACACAACAGGAGGGCGCTATTTGCTATGGGTAAAATCTTTTGTGTTGACTCCAAATGTTCCCACTTCATACAACGCCCTCCTAGTTTGCCCCCCATGCTTCAAAACAGGCTAATGTCGACGTATCCATCAACGGACAGCTTTTCATGGCGTGTCTGCCGTTATTCTGTATCGAATACGATTTTGTTTAAGTTTTTAAGTTTCATTAGTCGAACCAAAATTTAAGTCATTTCAAGCAAGTTTCCCATGTTGGGTAACAGTGCGGAGAAAATTCTCGGGCTGGGGGAATGCTCGGTACACCGAATGGTCAGTATCGTGGCGCTCGGTATAACGGCGTTCTACTGCATTACTGTAGCTTGCACCGTACCTATTGCACATCTCGTCCCGCTGAAGCCTTCCGGGCACTCACAAACCTTCTTGTTCGTGCAGATTCCCCCATTTAAACACTGGGCGTTACCTCTACAACCTGACACCAAACGAAGGTACATTTCCATTAAAGGGCCCATGACTTGTGTCGATTTTGTTTTTCTTCCGAGAGGAATGAACAAGTTTTTTTTTTTCCTCCGAGATGAATAACCTTGTTCAGCCTTGCTCTCGTTGATGCTTGAACATTAAGTGACACCCTTTTCGATCAATTGCAGTTAAAGACTCACCTGTGCTGTGGTTGGGCTTTTAGTCTCAAGAAAGATAATGTTAGTCTCACTTTTGTTTTATAGAGTCAAATTGACCCCTATACGAGCATTATGGCGCAAGATTTGCTAAGTGGCTAAATGCCGCTGCTCACTGTATTTACACAAGTTGAACACTGGATCTTCGATGAAAGGAACATTTACGACGGTATAACATCTGAAATTCAGGCACTGTTTGAACTGAAATACGTGTAAGCCTAGGTGTAAAATCAAATTCTCTGTTTATAAAGAAAAATGTGCATGAGAACAAAAACCACAATGACTGTCAAAAACGCAAACAGGTAACGAAATCAGGGTCCATGAGAATGGATTGGATGCTAAAGATCACATCAAAGCTGTACTGATTAGGCCCTTAAAGCAGAGTTTTGAAAATAATTTCATAAAATTAACATTTTGTACAACAGTCTCGCGTTGCAATCATGAAGTGCAGTGAAAGTAAAAACAAAAGAAAATTACTTCTCTCCCAGCTCGGGAGTTTTATCTCAAAAAGAAGTCGTGTTTTGTTTCTGGACCCTGCTTGTCATTGACCTAAAGATAGAATTAATGACATTCGGTTCGGACATCTAACGATTTAAATGTCAGAGGCAATGCCTGAGAAGGAGACGCTAGCAAGATGGCGTGTGCAAGACATGCTGCGCTGCATTATGCACGGAATATTGCCCCGCACAATTCATAGAATAAGCACGCCCAACTTTTCGCCGGAGCCTAATACGATGGATTTGTTTGGTTTCCGCTGCCAATCAAGCAAAATGCTCACTGGATACTAGTGAGAATAAGGAGACTCTTTGAGACTTTCCATAGATGGAGACTTTCCGGTCCCACTTGACAAATCTAGCATATTGATATACGTTGGGTAAGGGCAAACCTATTATATATAATTAACATCTCCCCAAGGCAAAAATACATCTTGAAAATTGTTCGCGGTACCCGCTGCTTCATTTGACTCGGACCGGCCAGCCGACCCCGGCAAGCTCGGTGGTCGAGTGGTTAAGACATCTGCACTAGTAAGCAGGAGGTCGTGGGTTCGAGTCCCACCCAAGTAAGCTTGTGAGGTTTTTTTCGCAAGCTCTCGGACAAGCCCTGAGCATACTGTGCTTATTGATATACGTTGGGTAAGGGCAAACCTATTATATATAAATCTAGCATCGTTAGAGTTAATTGAGTACACGCATGCGCAGATTTATTGGGTCCAGCTGGCTTCAACCAAACGTCCCAAAGTGTCCCCTTGGGTTCGGAAAACGACTCACTCTTTTCACACAAATTTCCAAAGAATGGGGCCGAGCAAGTACAGGAACCGTCCATGCAGGTGCCTTGGTTCAAGCAAGGATTCGTGTCCGAACACTCAGCTGAAAAAAAAATCAACAATTAAAAAGAAAATCAAACACCATTCAGCAAAGTATTACAAATATGTGGTACACCAGTCAGATTTCATTAATAGAGTTTAATTTTAAATACACGTAAACAGAATGAAACTTTCAACCGCTTGATGAAGTCTGTCTCTTTTGATGAGTAACTTCGCCCACTTTGCATTTAATATATAAAATGATAGAGGTCAGGTTAGGTTTTCATTTCCGCTACATTAAGCGTCGGTCCTTTTACCAGCTAAGCCTGAGGGATTGTTTTCGTTACTATTAATCAGATCTGCTTTGTTTTACCAAGTTCAGCTTGATTCTAACCGAATCCATAAATGCCGTTGTCGTTTCAGTATTGTGACTGTTACCATATTAGCGGAAACTCGCCCTTGAGCTACCTGACATTGCACTATACACCTATATCCACTAATAAATTCGAAGTTATGTGCGCATGCGCACCAATGGCATGTGTAGCCCAAAAGCTTGAGCGGCCCATTGGAAATGTACAGGGGCATAAATTTCAACGTCATTTGTAGTTTCCATTGCATATCGGTCATTGTCCTATGACCACTTACATACCGACACCACATCGTGATCCTCTGAATCCGTCCAAGCACTCGCAGACACCAGAGAGTGTGCAGGTTCCCTCATTCATACACTGGTCGTCATTTGTACAACCTGGGACCACGCGAAAGTACATCATTACCAAGGATCAATGCAATAAATCGTTCTGAAATGATAGTTACTCTGAGCATCTTAATTAAGTCTCAGAATGTCTGCACACTACTTGACAACCCTGAATATATAGATTGCTGCTCCCCATAACTCTCACCATTGATGAACTTTTTCTGCAAAACTGAGAGCGCTATTGTTGTGATTTTTGTCCCGAAAGACATGCCAATTTGGGAACTAATCTTTATTTTCAGTATTGGGAACTAACGGTTTTCGTATTGTAATCAAGCAGAAGTCAACATCACAAAATCCCCCATCACGGACCAACAGTTCAAAACAACCCAATTCGCAAGGCAATTCTCCCCCACACTCCCCTGGCTTACCAAAAGGCCAGAACATAAATTCAAAACAGCAACTTGTTACAGCTCGAAATTTAGCGACCTGAAAAATGACTCAAATTCTGACATTTCACCCTCCATCCCATCTGAATTATACAAGACTGGGCATATTAACCTCCTAACTGAAGAAAGAAACTCCGATTCACGTGCAAATTTATTATCATCTACGGTACTAATGGTCTAACCGACCCGTTCTACCTGTTCACCTGCCAGTTATCACCTTACTGACAACACCCCCCCCCAAAAAAAATCCGACGGTGGTGAAAGAAAGCATCCCTGATATTTGCTTTCTCCTGTTGGGGGCATGCCTGACAAAATAACGGTGGCAATCGGTTCGGGGAATCGACTGAATCCCCTCTCATAGCCTGCATGGTTTAAAACGACTCACTTCTTTCGCACAAAATGCCAGAGAAAGGGTTGACGCATTGACAGTTCCCGCTCACACAGGTGCCACCGTTGCGACAAGGATTTATCCCGGAACAAATACCTGAGGGAAAATAGCAAGAGCAGACACGTTTTATCATGGCTGGAAACAATAGATAGCATAATCTCAAAGCATGGACTCACCAACGAGTTAAACTGCTATCATGCACTTTTTTCCTGGGATCTTCATATGATTGAAATACCCAAAACAGAACGCACAAGCAAGTGATTCAACGAGCTTCCAACGCCGCTGATCGGCAGTTTAAAAATTCATGATTTCTTTGTGTTGTTTTCACTCGTTTTGGCAACAACAGCAAGGTTTTACCTAGGAGCGAGTTACAACTCCATAGTGGTAATTAGTGTCTCTAAGCGCAGGAAAGTTTTCGAAGAGATCGGGCGAGAGACACTCTCTTGCCTTGAGATATACTTGGCAGTTTAAAAAAGTTATCCATTAAATTTGATTCAAAACAAAAAAATTCATTCTGATCTAAGTTCACCGTAAACATTCAGCAGCCAATTCAACTCTTACATTACAATAATAATAACAATACTTGTTATAAATGTTTTGTCCTGTAAGTGTTGACGGATGCAACGTCATTGAAGAGCCATGCCAAATTATCCTCAGAGTGATTTGGACAAACATTTAATAAGAGGTAAATAAATCAAAATATCAAGAAAAGTAATCAAATGAGCGAGACTTACTGTAGATTTCGCAGACTGGTCCTACATAATTTTCCGGACACATACACGTAAAGCCTGACCCAGTTGGCCGTGGCACACAAGCGGCATCATTCAAGCATATTCCATCCACCCTTCCGCATAATTCTCCAAAAGCTGTTTAGCAAGAAGGTGACGTATGAGATAATTATTCTGAAATGACGGGAGCCGTGGGTTATCCAACACATGATCTCACCGCAAAGGCGTCTGCAGTGGAGGCTACAGCCAAGACACAAAGGCACACTTTTAGTTTGTAGCACATGACGCCAGTAACGTAAACTCTGACGTCATTCCCAAGTCAGTACAGGCACATAATTTGAGAATGTTGAGTAGCTGCACATAATTTGCTTCACCTTTATCATGCGTGTAGGCACGCATTGGCGTACATGTAAATCCCAGGGGATGAAAGTATAACCCACATTCCACACACTTCTGACGGGGGGGCTATTAAATCACTTCCCCCTCCCTTTTGTGATGAGACAAATTATTGCAGATTCAGTCTTTGCAATATCACTCAATTTACATGAGATTTTTAAAGCAATAAATACACCACCCTGTTTTAAGGTTCTACCTGAGTGCAACAATTACCACTGAGATACATCATGAACATAGACTAGACAAACTTTGGGAGCTGTCAATCTCTGACCTGTTCTTATACTTTTTAATTAACACGTGGTTTTAACAGTTGCCTCAGGTTGTGGTCATTATGTTTTGAAGTGGTAAAATGGACTTAAATTGGTACTGATGTCATTGACGTCCCTGCTCTGCTGTCCTGATCATCGTCTACGCGTATTGGTGGGGGTCCTGTCTGTGGTCATTGTTGATTTGGTCTGTTGTGAACCATTTATTTTTAACTCAATTTAACTTCATAAAAGCTTCGTTTTCTCGATAGAGCAAAGAGGATTTTAGCGAGAAATTGCCATCCAATGTCCAAATGGTCCATTTTAACTGCCTTTTTACTGGTAACCTATGCATGAGATATATGGCGGGCCTGACCAGGCAAAATTGCCAAACTTTCACTGATCGAACTTGCCCCAGCTACCTCATTCGACAGCAAAACAGAGTTTTCCGCACATAAGTTTGTGTCACCCGCCATGGGGGGGGTGGGTGTCGTGTAAATTAAACATACAGGGAAGCTGGTAGATGCTGGCATGAGAAACAAACTTCGTGTGTTTGCGCCTCGAGGAGGAGTCTTGGTATATTTTTCCAAATCTTTGCTTTGGCGCCGTCTTGGAATTCATTTCAAGACCCAGGCTAAATTTCAAGTATATTATTTGTTTCAAGTAAATGAAATGAACATTCCACAGCCACCCCATAGGGCAAATGGATGCTGTTGTGACAGCAGACGACCTTCATTGGCCCTTGGGGGTGGGATGGACGAGGTTCGCAAAAGTGAAGTTTGTATCCATCTTGAGCAGAGACAACCGCCATCGGTTTAAAAAAAACATATTTGGTGGGGAGTAATTCGTTTTGTTGGGAGCGACGCGTACGCAAAGCGTGCATTTCTTGAAGCTACGAAAGTGCTGTTATCAAATGAGCCTCCGTTACGAGGAAAATTGCGCCCTCTCTTGGGCCAGGTCGAGCCTATTAGCAAACGCAGAGAAGCCCAAAATCCACAAAGCCAACCTGGATCTAGTATATTTTACGACTGTCCGTCACGTGTCCAGAACATTTTTACACCAAGACTTTTTTCAGCTAAAGGTCATAAAGACTGAAGAGTCACCAGATTGAGATTAGCACTACTTTGAAGTCATCTAAATCGGGCTTTCCCGTTTACACATTATTTCGACAATCTATTGCCACTTACGGGTATCGCAGTGCGGACCAGACATCCCAGCCGGGCAATTCGCGCATTCATTTATTTCCTCTCCCGTACCATTTCGGCACATACCTCCATTACAGTCAGCATTCGTTTGGCAATCTGAAGGTTAGTGAAACAGAACAAAGGAATGTAAGAGCTGTACACAGTTCGAAGTTTAAAAAAAAACACAAATGTGGTGCAATATGACCGGTTCACAGCGTGAGAAAGCACCCATAATGAATCTTTTGCAGCGAAGATGGCACGTTGATAAAAGGAGACCAACATAATGGGGCGATTCGCAAGAGTGCGCCTCCAGGAGTTCGCAAGTGTTGGCCAATCACAACGTGTGAAATCTGTCGGCCCAATGCGCGTTTGGAACAGAAAGGGCCGACAATTTTCGCGCGTTGTAATTGGCCAACGCGCTGCAAACTCTTGAAGGCGCACTATTGCCCACATTGGGCAAAATACTTATGTGGGAGAAATCTTTTGTTGCTAACGTTTCACGAATTGTTGTTTCAAAACTGTTGAAGTCAGCTTTGAATAATCATTTCTCTCATGTCCCAGTGTTTTCCTTCAATAAACTGTCGTCGTTGGTGCCTCACAGTGGTTATCCTTGCTACTGTTGCCAATGCTAACATCCCCCCGGTCCCTTAACCTAATACGAAAGGTACGGCCTTTCTCTTCCTAAGTACCCAAGAACTTACTTTCTACTTCACAGAGGAAGCCACTGTACCCGTCGTTGCATTCACACGTGGGTAGGTCCGCAATGCATCTTCCACCGTTCATGCAGAGCGGCGGTTCACAGACCTCCTCTCCCGTCACTGTAGTCATTGGGGTAAACCAGTTACACTCTAAAACACCTGGGTCAGACTGACCCGGAATATGGGTCTCATGGGGCCTGATATGATCCAAAAGGGGGTCATAGGTTGACGCGGAAAGGGGTCAGGCCCCATGGGACCCAGATTCCGGGTCCAGGCTGACCCAGGTGAGTTTAGAGTCTGGCATTCGATCTACACATGCAGAGAAGCTATAGCACAAAAGCATTATTGCAATGGGGGGGGGGGCAAAAACTATAATGTAGGCCTACGTGTAAGCCTGATCGTGATTGGTCCTGAAACAGCCAGGCGGTTGCAATCCCCAACATTATTTCTCTCGTATGGTGACTATATTTTGTATCAAGGTGAGTCCTCTTCCTTTCCCGTTATGTACGCATACCGTTCTCGCCAGATTATCATTTTCCCCATGTAGTATTGGCCAAGGGCTTAACGTTTGCTGCCGACGTGCAAAATGCACGAATCAGCAAAGACACTGGCCATAACCGACCATAAGCGCAATTACCCCATACGGCATTGATTCATGATTCGTGTTTTCATATGTTTAAAGACGAAAAACAAAAACCAACAAATAAACAACCCAACAACCCCAACAAACAAACAAATGAAGATACTGGTAGTTAGATGGCCAAAATTGTAAGTAACGTGGCGGACCCCGCCATATCCGCCCATGGTGGTGGCAGACAAACCGGTCCTTTTCCGCGTTAGGACTGCACATGCATGCCCACATCAACCCCCCAAAAGGACAGTTGTGTCTGCTGCCACCAAGCTTCTCAAAGTCTCCCACTGCAGAAAGCTTAATGACAAATGGGTTTTCATGGTTAACTGAATGAGATTTTTCTCGTTGGTGTCCTTTGTGTACAGTAAGTTGTCGCAGTGATGCTGCCATCGGTCACGTGACACGCTTTGCTTTTTTTATGGCTGATAAATTTTGCTTTCTGCGTGTGCAACATTTTCACCGCTTTACATAAACTACGTTGCCCAACCAGAACTGAGTCGCTGACATTTGCACGGAGGGATGATAGGAGATGTCGATAGGTCAACTATGTATTTTCTTTACAAAAATACATACAACAAACCACAGAGTAAATTTTGGAAATACTGAATTCCCTGCATGTTCCTAATGCTAGCTGTCATTCATGCTATCCCTCCCTGCATCAGGGCTGTGGAATGTAAGGGCTAATTTCCTTCACACATCACTACACAAAAACATTCTTCATTTGGAACTCCTTGACCGGGCATAAAGAGTAAATCATTATTGCTTTTGGGAGGTTTTGTTTTGTTTTTTTCTCTCTTTCCAATGCCAACGTAGGCTTCAATGGTTGTTGCTTTGTGTGTGTGTTTTTTTTTTATTTCCTTTCAGCAAAGACTCCTGAACCATGAGGGTTTATTCTTGAGCATTTAGGTTGTGCCACGATTGCTGACTAAACTGGCATATGATCCCCAAAAGGGAAAAGGGCTCCGCTAAAAATAGCATCCGACACCAGTTCACTGCGCGCAGCCATTTTGCCTTCTTACGTCATAAGGCCCTGATAAGCACGCTCAATGCAAGCCGAAATCAGATAGCTTTCGTCCCCTGCACACTGTGAGACCTTTTGGAGGGGTGACTAAAACTACCAAACACGTTTTATTTTTTGGCGAATGACGAAAATCTCTCGAAAAACTGATCGCACACTGGAGCTTTCTGCTTACGCCACTAGTCACAAATGAAATTGGCAAAACAGATAGCCCTAGCGTGCAGCAGGCTTTATTCAACCAAAGCTCTCCCACAACGTTGTGGATGTTTACCAGCTTTTACATAAACAAAGCACTGTAGGGCACATGCACTGTTTTGCAATAATAAAAGAAGTTGAATAGAAGCTTCGCCTTCGCCTTCTTGGACACGCTGTGGAACAAAAGCACTGGCCTGCAAGATGGCAGTCACGTGAACCCTCTGTGACACTTGTATCAGTCAAAGGCCAAGAGACGTAGGCTACATTGTAACCAAACCAAACAAAACAAAACAAAACAACACAAAAAACACTATTCTTGTTGTCATATTTTTTAGCACATGATCATTAAAATGCATCCTGTTTCAGCATTAATAGGGCATGTTTATCACATTAGAAATTGATATCTACATTGTAAGATTTGAAATGTTAAATAATGTCATAAAGTGCCCCCTACCGTGAAGCGAAATATGTTGTGTATACCAGTGCCCTTGTAGGCAGTTTACTCCTATCAGAAGACAGGTGATTGTTAGCAGTCTAAACCCTGTTTACAAAATACATTCAACTGGCCAGATAAAAAGGATGTTTCTTGCTCACCTTCTATTTCACAGTAGAAACCTACAAAGCCTTCAGGACATATACAGCCAGGAGGGGCGTCTTGGCACGCTCCGCCGTTCAAGCACCAGTCATTGGAACATGCTCCACGAGCCACGGCTGTGAGGTCACGAAATAAATTCCTGTTATTTACACCGTATATAATAATATCACATGACATCTATTAATGGGCGTCATGAGTTGGGGGAGGGCAATTGTTTGCCGCAACCCTAGAAAAAAAAGTGACTGGATCCTACAAAATGAGTCTTAAAACCCTTTGTGTAAGTTGTTGCTTGAGCTGGTGAAAAGAGCAAAAAAAATTTTGGTTGTTTGTTGGTTTTTTTTTTATTACCACTTGGATCTATGTTCTGATGAAAACGGGCATCAAGTGAATGGAAATTGTTGTGGGTTCCTGTTGCTTTTGACTGACCAAGATTTTCGCTCAGGCCTTCACCTTAAAGTGGCTTGGGCGTCTAACAACCCAGTTTGGAGGTTCGGGTGAACTTGAAAAGTAAAACAACGGGAAAACAGTTGTGAAAAATGAAAGAATGAAAAAAAAGAAAAGAAAAAGAAATGATAGCTATCACCACTTTGTTTGGAACACAAAAAAATACCTCGACATTGACCCCCCTCCCACTGTTAACACAGGTGCACGTTTTTGTTACGGGGTGCGTGACGCTGGCGTAGCATCTTGTATTATTATCCCGTTCGTAAGTGACTTCGTCACAATGGCGGACGCGCCACGATTTGCAGGCTCTCATTGGACAATCGCTGAAGTTGCGCGTTAACTTCCGGTTCCATGGTTCTACGTAAACGGCGATCAAAGCATGTAACCCTATGGGCAGTACACGTGTGAAGTGAGCATGGTGTATACTGAATTGACGAATCGGATAGGCATCAAGCAATTTAGCTGTCTCCAAACGGCGTATCCAGTTTTGCTTTCTGTGNCAAAAGAGGAACAATAGGGGGTCCCCAGTTGCAGGCAAATACAAACTTGTGTGTGTTTGTGTGTAGGGGGGATTCAAAAGTGAATGTGGCCTCAGGTTTATTCAACATGATTGGGAAGAACAAAATATCCAAAGCCTTACGGTCCCAACATCCTGCCTTTACTTGCAGGTGTTGTTAAATATAACAATTACCTTCTTACCTATGAAGTACTCTTTGATTGGAAACAAAAATCCGGGGGGGGGAAAGTATTAAACCCCCGCCCAACCCCCGCCTCCGCTGGATACGTCAAAACTGTCTCCTCCTGAGTTTGTGCGTATTTCACAGTTCTACGATTCTCAACACGTTTGAAATCTCCCACTTTTTTCGAACACTTGGACTGAAGTTGATGACAAATTGCAATGACGACCGGGCAGGAATCGAAAAAAAATTAAGATTAATAAAGCAAGCTTTTATAAACACGCGAGCCCCCGGCCTCTGACACTCGAGTTTTGTTTTGTTTTTTACTTTCTTAGGTGCACTAATAATAGTAGGCTACTGCGTGCTGCATGCCCTACCACCTTCACACTGCTGCATATTTTGTACGACCTTTTGCGCACTTTGTTAGCCCATGGCTATCTGTTTGGTATGAGAAAGACATCGCATGCTGTTGCCTCCTTCCTTCACGGTAACATACATGTACATGATTTGCTCTTTTAAGTGCCCTTTGTTTGCTTACGGTTTTCCACTCAGGGGACGATGCCAGTGAACGAGGTTCCTTCCATTTAACGTCAATTTTATGTTTCTGAGTTATGACTGGATCTCTGACCAATGAAAGTCGTGACTTTTGGTGTTCAATTACAGATTTCTGGAAACATCGACGACCGTTTCAGTGTGAGCTCCCTTTAACTGCGGTTTAAGTTTTTATCGCCTGCTACTACCGTAGGTCAACCACAGCACAAAAAATTAAAAATGCAGTGGGCTCTACGGTATAATGAAATTCCCCCTACAAAACCTTTGAATTATTAACATGCTTAATAAATGAAAACAATACTCCCCGTTCCAGTTATGCATAAACTTCGTGCTCGGACCTTAATTAACAACATCTAAAATTCTACGCAGATACTGAAAATGCTGGCTTAACAACCTTTTATCTTCCCTTCATTTTTCAAATATCACAAAACACTTCCTTATTATTTGGTCCCTAGGAAATATTTAGCCATAACAAGTTGTGCATTCTCCGCAGAGAAAGAATTTTGAAAACAAATACTGGGAACTTTAAGTCAATTTACAGCTCCTTCGTTTGGAAATGTATGAGTTAATTGCCTCCGATTTTACTCATTTTCTTGGGGGGGGGGGCACTGTGACAAGCGAATTTGTGACTCCCCATTCCAAAATTATGTCGGAGGCTTAAAGGGTAGCTGCAATCAATGTTTTTGATTACAAACCTTTGAAATGCACCTTTGTGCCTCTGTTAACCTCACCCCTTTTTCAACGTTGGTTTCCCTATTTCAAAGGCTGTTTTAATGCCTTTTGGTTTTATGCTAATGAGTATTTCCGTGTTCATGAGTAAAACTGTGATATCATTTCAGGAAGAAGCCACTGTGTTACATTGATTTGTACACAAAAAAGTCCTACGTTTCTGTAGATATTCGTGGACTAATTTTTCTCTGCTTTGCTGATTCATTGTCGTTTATGTGCATAGCAATAATAAACCATCAATCCCTCTCTCAGAAATATTTTGAATTTGTAAAATCTGGGTTCACAATTTGAACAAAAATACCTGTGCACTGAACCATGTCTTCTCTAGACGACCTTACAGCAACAGCGCCCTCAGTTGTCTGAGAAAACATGGATAATATTGATTTTTTAAAATTGAGCACTTTTCAACACATTTACTCAAGTAGGAGTATGTAAGAGTTTTCGTACATTACAGAAAAGTACAAAGATGCAAAAAATATGTGCCGACGAAAAATTCATTGCAGCTACACTTTAACTCTTACCTGCTATCTGAATATGACACTAACGGGGTAATACGCTGCTAGTATACCTATTAAAGTCTCCTACAAATGAAATTGGCACCATGATGGATCACGATGAAGACAGAAAATTATCAGCGGGAGAGAGGAATTGTCAAACATCAACCAGCTTGGTTTTAGAATGGTACCGGATAAAAATTTTTGTTCTTCATCACACGCACACAAAATCTCACGGCCTCCAACAACAGAATCAGGAAACCGGATGCACTCACCATTCTCGGGGGAAAGCATTAATCTATAACCTCGTGGTTGTGCAAATAAATAAGCGACTGAAGAGTGCCATTTTCAACTGAGAAAACAATTTGTGCGATGCGAAATATTACTTGGAAGATGAGAATTGCAATAAAGACAATGACCTCGCAAATAAAATAAACCAGGGAATTATGAGAATTAAATTGCAATGCCTTAAAAAAGAACCAATTTTCCCTGCGCGGTATACAATCAACAGACTGTTGCACAGAACTCATCCTATACTGGGTACACAAATTTACTTCATAACACATGTACTGTAACCCCCCCTCCGGTAAGAGGAAACGACACCCAAATCCGGATTAAGATGTCCTTCCTTTGTAACCCAAGAAAATAGGTCGTTTTGACCCAGAAAAGAATTTCAGCGGATTTGGATCCAATTTCAAGGTCAATTTGACCCAGGATTTCTTAAGAGAGTGAGGGATTGTATACAGCGTTAGCATAACATGCTGCATTAAGAGCTGAGAGATTAGCCCCGAGTTACCCTGCGTTTTATTCCTTGTTCATTTCGCATTGTTGAATAACGCCCACTAAAGGTAATTTGTAAGTCGAACATTTTGGAAAGTCAATGCAGAACGTTTGAGTCCAAAATTTCAAGGTGATGGAACCATATGCAATCATGCAAGCCAATAGTCCTCTCAAACATTCCTACTACTATTCCTCAGAAAGAAAATCTGATCCTTGTTTGTATTTCTGCGGAGTTACCCATGACAGTCATGCCACCGGACTAAATAACCATTCTCTGTCACAAATTGGACAAGTATAATATCAGGCTATAGGTTAGTTCACTTTGAAATCATCTGGCTTTTCCCCTATGTGCAAAAAGCGATTCAGGACATGACAATTAACTTTGAAAAATACTTGAGACATTACACGTGGCAGGGAAATATTGAGGGAACTCATCATCGGTGCGGAAAATTCGATTTTTTTTTTATTTATTTATATTTGGGGGGGGGCATATTCTCTACACTTGTTGCCTCAGGTTGGTGAGGTACGAAGTCCGTGAAAAATTTTTGTTATTATGACTGCATCCCGCATTGACTAATTAGGAGGCCGACACACAATTAGTCCGTAAGTCCTCGCTATGAAATTATCAATTTTGATGAAGTGGTATTTCGCTAAATCTACGTGTAGTATAAAGTTAATGGACGGGCCTATTGCCGTGTACTTCCTGAGTTCCAGGATTCATATAGCTAGGCCTAATGAAAGCACCAGCCATATTTTCCCCAATGTTGAGGTTTTATGTTGCATATAGAGGGATCCCAATACGACGCTTTTAGCGTCGATCTCCGCACTTCCGCGTTTGAAAACGAGGCTGTATGTGTCAGCTTCAATGCTTATTACAATCAGTTGAAAGTAAGGAGTCAAGACGCAAAATATATAAAGGTATGTTAATTTCAGACTTTTCAGGCTGCAAAGTTTTGTGGAAGAGTATTTCAGGATGACTCGACACGTGAAATCAGAAGACAAAATTATGGCAATTTACCGCGAACTAACGTACCTGCGACGGTCGTTTATCATGTGTAGTGGGCGTGGTTAAAACTAAAGTGGCACCACACTTAGGAACCAGATACTGCATGTACTGTGTCGACTCCGCGGTTTCGATGCAGATATGTGCAGACGGCGCTAATATGAAATCCATCTATTAACCATTTCCAAAATGCTGAAGTACACAAAACTCATTCACGTCAATGTACAGTCATGTCTATTGCAATACATGTACTTTACTATTTGCATATTTTGGTTACCTTGCACAATTCGTAACAGGTCTGGTTCCCACACGACGGCCCTGACCTAGTGCCATTCACCGTTCTGCGTTGGATTTCCTTTTGTTACGCCTCGATCAGCCTTCAAGTTGGCTGGGAGAGTGATACAGTTTTCTATTCGCGCATGCGGAGGTCTTTGTGGCCGTATCTACGCGCAAGTTATTGGCTCAATTGTATTTCGGTCTTATATGATAAGCAGAATAAATGCACCTACGCGAAAGGCAACCCGTTTTCCAGGGAAAAGTACACTAACGGGAACATTCCATCGGTGTTATTCACAGCTATACCAGTATGTACTTATCGCGGACGGGTTAGTAAATCGGTTAATTCCTTTCACCGACACCGTCACTCATCAGTCCCAACAATAGTTTTGGACGGACATACGGTTGAATTGGACGCAAGTTCCAACTTTGTTGGGCCAGTCCAACTACAAACAGTGGAACAATCATTACATCATTGCAGATTTGAACAAGACTACGAAATTGCGGAGAGTTCCGCTGTTTCCAAAGGAGAGACTGCAGGCCTGTGCGACTCCTTGATACGGTACAATGAAAACAAAACTTGTTTATTTGAGTCGCCGAACATATCGATATCCCGGTAGAAGGGTCAAGACAGTTTACGATAGGCCTAAATTCGCCGAGTCATTTCAGCCATGACACCCCTTTTGATAGTGTAGAAGCGCTAATTTCAGCCTCCGTCGACTTCCAAATGAGACTTCCAGGGGAGGCTTACTCTCACAAACCGATTAAGGTTTCATATAGATTAAAATAATACCACACGTACGCGAAATAAGCATTGGGAAGCGTCCGGAAAGGGAACACCACAACACAGAGGGAATTCAGCTCTCAACTGGATGTTTGTCCACTTTCTGTTGTAATTAGTTTTTTTACTGGTACCTTTTCTCGTTTTTAACCACACTCTACCATTTCTAATTATCTCGTAACTACACGACCTTCAATGCTTCATACCACGTGCACGGTTTATATAATCATATTCCCATATCGTAAGACGTGAAATTGTTCCATTGTTGCATTTGAATAAAGACGACACCCTACTATTTTGGTTTGGGTTTCTCCAGAAGCGAATCAAGCACTATTTCAGTCTGGTAAAATTTAAATTGGTTAGCTTAATTCAATCCAGCTACAAAATTGCCACAGTTTCAAGCAAATAAAAACATTCAAACTCTCTCATTCTTAACCAATTACATATACGTCACAAGGCTATGCTATGTGTTGATTCAGAAAGTCGAATTTAAGCTTACCGATGAACGGAAGCACAGTAACAAGTGTACGAAGCAAACTCGCCATCCTCAAACACAGCACCAGAACATGGAGTGTAGAGCCCTGTTCCCAACCAATGCCTTTTATAGAGAAACTCCCAGTGGAAGTGGAACAAGGTGCAGTATCTGCAGCAAATCAGAAGATCTAACTCCACCTTGTGGAGCGCAGTACAATGTTCTTCAGGTAAAGGCTATAGTGGATTTGTGCAGAATCCCTAGAGTTCAGAACCATACCCAGAGCTACGTAGAACGAACTACATGTAGCAGCTGACCGATGAACCCGACGTGACACTCCTGTCAGTCTACACCATGCAGTGCAGTACGGTGTCTCTAAAACCACGCTCCCCAGTGCGGTAGAACTGACCCGTACGTTGACAAGCCCACTTTTTCCGGTGAGTTGGTATGTACATGTACAGAAGATGTGGTACACTGGATATAGTTATTCAAAACAATATACATGTACATGTAACATCCACTGCAGTTGAACTACCATTGAGTTTACGAGATCCTGTGCCCAAGGACAACTCCCCACACGTCACTAAACCACTATTGTCTGTCTGAAGTGACCTCCTTTATACTGAACGGGTGTATTCATCGCTTTTACGCGTCCGTAAGCAGACCCAATTCTGTTCGTCTTCTTGGTATAGAGTACGTACGTAAATAAACAGCTTGGGCCTGGGTCGTGACATGGTCGGGGTAGCTGTAATTGCTTCGGTTTAAGGTATAGGTGTTGTGTGTGGTAACCCGCCGGGTGACGTCGTTTGCAGGAAGGGGGTTTATCGACACAGTCAGATATGGGCGTGCAGTTTTAAGCAGAAAAGTGGTCTATTTGGCGTGATCGTTGTGACGACAGTCTCCGCTTTTTAGCCTGTGAAATTCTTCGAAAAAAAACCAAAACAAACAAACAATCGAGGCTCTTATCTGTTTTTGATATTGGCCACCGATGAAACCTTTAAATTCAGAAATGTCATGTCGTCTTATCATTCAAGCCATATTGGACCGCATTACAACCAACCAACCCCTAGCTGCCAGCTTGGGGTTTGGCGGTTATAACATGTCTGCCAGACTGCCCCGGCCTGACTGACTTCGCCCCTCAGTGGCTGAAAGCTGACTTTGCCCCTGACAGATTTTGCCCCTGATTCACTTTACCCCGGCTGACTTGACTATTATGAAAAAAAATACGACATTGATATAGTCCCATCATTATGTTTTTACCCCAGTTTTTGGATTGTATTTATGTACAACGTGCATGGGAACAAAATTGGCCGTGAAAATAATTCAAGGCAAACCTGTCATGCCTGCACTGAACATTTTAATGTGTGTGCCGATCAATTTGGAATGTAAATTCTAGTAGCTTTCCCGTTTAATCAATGTAGCAAATATAACAAAATATATCCTGCCATCTTATTAGACATAATAGTTGCGGACACAAGGTTAAAGCTCGGTCGATTTCAAGCATATGCAATCATGTATATCATGTTAATTGTAATCTCAACATGAACGACCTGCTTTAATTAACAAAAAACACTGGGTTGATCGAAGTTGGTCCTCTTGGGCACATCCCGTTTCAATCGTCAATTATGCACATCATCAAGAACACAAAAAGAAAAGCTCAGACACTACCTTTTAGATTTTCGTTGTTCATTTAATTGCCACGAGTTCACTTTTCCCATGTTTAGAGTATGAAAAAGGGGCAAACGTTTTAGGGTTAAAGGCGACTTGGGGACCATTTAATTTGCCTGTCCTCACAGTGTAAAACCCTCGAGATTTTGGCTCACGTAAAGATATTCCCACATTTTGCAACCTGAAACCTTGGTCCCTAGTTCCGCCCTTGGAGAAAATTCGTTACGGCCCTGACCAGTTTAAATTGTACTGCGAGGGTGTGTGTGTGGGGGGGGTATACATCACTGACTTTAAGCTTTGTCCGAAATGCAGCATTTGTGTGTTTCACTGTTCGTAAGGCTCGTGGAGATTCGGTCTCTATTAGATTTGTATTTAGGAGTACATTTTTTTCAATCTCCTCACCATGTTGGTCTTGAGACCAAAGATATACAGCGCTTTAGTTTTGTTAATGTCTACACTTTTACAACCTTCAAAACGGTACGTTATGTTTTTAAATGTTACAAGTAAAAAAGCGACAACTTTATGAAAGAAAAATTTAAAAAAAATAGGACTGCTTAAGAGATAAAATCCAGAAAAAAATCCAAAGACTGAAAACTTTTACAGAACCTCACTAAAACTACAGGAAGACACAACAAATGGACTTAACGAAATAAAAAAAACTCTGAAGAAGAGTTGTACATTGGAGTTCGAAAGTAATAAAACTTAGAACCTTATGAAAACAAACTCAAAATATCATGACGGAAAAAACAAATGCATATAGATTTAAACGAGCGTAAGTTTAAATATCAATCAAACTTTTCCCCGATCTTCGGATCTAGTGTGCGTTCCATTACGGAAACTATGCTCCCATGAAAATTTATATTAAGAAAGTTTGCATAGTCTTGAATCTTCTCAAAATATTTTGGAAGCAAAGGAAGTTGCTGTAACTGAAAAAAGGTCTCCCTCAACCATACCTGTGTATGCAATCCTACTGCTGCAAAATGAAAAAATAAAAATAGTTTAATTCATAATTTTAAGCTTAATTAATATTTTTTCATTCATGTCTGTTACGTTCATAAGTTTAACACTGTCTTCACAGTGTTTCAACTAAAGCATATAATTCTAAGGTGGCATATTTTCAAACGGCTGCAAGCCTGAGTTAGTATTATTGACGTGCATTACAGTTTCAACCTCATAACCACAGTGTCTCTTTGTTGGATATTGTTTTTAGACGATATCTCCGTCTTCGTTGCAAGCTGCTCATGACACAATATCGCACGTTTTGATCGGTCTATAGTCACTTGAGGTCGCTCTACGGTCAACTTCAGACCTGTGACAGTGGACCAACCTATGATGAGGCTCCAGTCTCCTCTTTTTATACCGTCATGAGAAATGGACATGGTCGATCCCTAGGCAGACTCGGTGGAACTCGCATCTTGGCCTGGTTCCAGGTAGACGTAATCATCCTGGTTCAGGTTTCCCATCTCTAGGTAACCCTGGTGACAAATTGGAAACGTTTGATAATCTTGAATTCACCGCAAAGCGAACCGCGACATTAGAATCCAAGTCCAAGAATAATGCAGTTGCTGATGCTTGTATATTCATGAATAACCTATTAGCTATGAAACAAAACCTTTCCTACTTTGCATATTTACTACTGGTGTCTCTGGAAAATTGGTAGCATGTCATAATTACTGACCTTCGGGAAATACCAGTAGTATATTTATATGTAACCATTTTACTTAGTTTGATCACACGTACAGTGAGACGGAAATCGAAACACTCGGATAAATTAACAACCCACCGCTGCATCTGCTAAGATGTCATCAATTGTGATGTGAAGTCGAGCAAAGTCGGGTCTGTCATCCGGTCGCTCCTGCCAACAGTCCTGCATAATCTTGTACCTGACAAAAAAGGTAGTCGGTTACAGTGTCAGCCGATACATTGTCAGCCAAGAAAGCAAGGACTTTCAATCTTTCACATATTCACTGATAACAAGGAAAGTGGCAAGTTCGCGACCTTTAATCACAACAGATCACCGCTAGTCAAGGAAGGATTGGGGGATGTCAAGGGCCATCATGTTCCTTACCAATATAGGGGCTGGTTTTTTCTTTATTTTTGTAATGAGGGAAAGGCGAATTTTGTGGGTTTTTTTTACTTTCTTTCCTCCACAAAGCGTGCAAGGCCTCAAAATGTAGCCTCACCTCTCAGAAAAGTTCATCAAGGTTAACCTACATAAAAAAAAAATCAATTTTTTGGTCCCCCAACCCCCCCCCCCCGAAAAGCACAATGTTTCTTGATCCATCTTCCGGCTAGTACCAGATTCTCAGCAAAATTGACGTCTCATATCTCAGAATGACCTTCAGTAGGCCAATACTTACACATCGTCGCTGCAGTGGTCTGGCTTGGGTAGCCGGTAGCCTTTCTTGATTTCGTTGATGACCTTCTGCGATGACATTCCGGGGTATGGATGCGATCCTGATTAAAATATGCGAGTAGGGAAACAAATTCCATTAAAGCCAACTCTTTGGATACATATCCGCTGTATATTTGGCGAGCCCGATGCTTTGCACCCGCAACTGACGTGCTTGGAAAGTCACTTCATTCGAAAGGCTGTGTAACAAGCAATCAAGGCGCAGGGCCATCACATCGGGTTCCTTGCATGTTACTGACCGTAGAGTGCGGAATCGTCGCCTGCAGATTGCGTTAGAGTGCCCCATGCTTCATACACAAATATTTCTAACAGAAATTTACCCTCACAGGACATTAGCATAAAGACACCTTTCCATATGCGCGTCAACACTGGCAGCAAGTGTTGCGTATCCGTCAAAATCGCTCTATTGGGCGGATGTGACAAAATGAAATTTGAACTTTGTGTTGAACTTCGATGTGTCAGTTCGGCATTCCAATAGCGCATGCCTAAATTGAAGTGCGTCCGAGGTCGTTCGGGAACAGCAGTGCGCGCGTACGATAGTCAGTCCTATTAGCCGTACGTCGACTCAGCGCGTGCTTAGGTCCGGCAAGACCTTGCCTATTATGAAAGATTGAGCTGGCAACATGTTGCACAAGAGCACCACAGTAGCAGGCTAATGTGTCGCGTTTTGCCATGCCTGGTTGACGCAGGTTACAATCAAACTTTTACATATTTATTTCGACAGAGAAAAATGGAACTCCTCACTCCACGAATCCAGTGATTGCACCCTTACAGCCATGACCTATAAACACAATTCTACTTCACTTTCTAAATGCTGAATTACGAAACCCTGTGCGTCATCACTCTATAAACAATAATGATAAAAACATATTTACAAAATGAACGTGTTTTCAAAAGAAGAGTTGAATCCCTTAGCAGATCGCTTTTGGACTGAGCATTTCAGCGACTCCAAATGCGGCAAAGAGGAGAACGTGTCTTTTCTTGGGTGTGACAAGTGAAGAGAAAGTGATCGATGCTCCAGCTCACCTAGCGTGACGAGTTCCCACAGCAAAACCCCGAAGGACCACACGTCACTCTTACAAGTGTACATATTGGTGAGCAGTGACTCAGGAGCCATCCAACGAACTGGTACCCTGCCCTGTTTGAATCGATTTTGGGCAAAACAATGAACGGTTAACTGCTTCGACAAAAAAAGCCACAAACACTTTCCGCATTGTACAGTGTACAATTAATAATTATTACGAATCTCTAACTAAAATGCGTAAGAGCTTATTGAGTTCACTGTAGGGTCACTCTGAACACGTGTTCGTTGCGAAAGTGTCTCAACCTTACAAGCCTGGACAGAATTTCGCTTACACCTTTCCAAATGCATGATAGATTGGTTTGTTTTAGGCTTTGCTTCAGGCATTTCAGATCTTGGCATTCCTTAAATTAGCTGATTACAATGTTTTTGAATCTCAATCTCTTTAACGGATCTGTTTTGGTTTTGGCAGTCACTAAGCTGGTTCCATACCACATTCAACCACTAGGGTGTCCGTTTAAGCCTAAATTCTGTTTGCAAGTGGCTAGAGTGTCAATTGTTGAGCAGATGGTCATACCTGGGACTGCATTTCGTACTGGCTTCGCTCGGCCACATCTCTTGCCAGTCCGAAGTCAGCCACTTTGCAGATCATTCCCTCGCCGAGAAGGATGTTACGGGTAGCTAAATCCCTGTGGATGCACTGTCAGAAAACAAAGTAATAGCACAACCAAATTACACCACCAGCTGTGGATTTTCTCGGCCAGCAAGCTCTCATGGCTCCCGATCCCTCTGGACACTATATTCTGTATTGACCAGTGTTGTAGTTGAGATCCTGGGCCTGATCCTGAGATCATGAAGCTGGTTAAGGACATTGTTTTTCCATTATTTCAGTATTTATCTTGCCTTTACTTCTGTGATGTATCTATTCATTTTACTGTTCATGTTTTCATGATCTTCAACTCTTTGTTCTTATGTTTTGGATGTTCAGTCTAATCTTCACTGTGCGTCGCGTTTTCCCTTGTCTGCTTCCAGTGCTTTGTCCCTAGTCCAATTGTCTGTCTATTGGCTGTTCTCTACAAGCCCCCGCTTATATGAACAGCTCCATACCTTTCTATCTCTTGAAGTTTCCTCTATTTTTTCTATACTACATTGTATTTATGGCTCATATTTATTTTAAGTGTATTCTTTGATTCGTATTTTAATGAAAGTATGGAAATATATGTTGTTTTTTAATTTAATTAATTTTTTTTAATTTGAAACAACCTTGTTTGATAAATCAGGTAGCCAGCCCAAACTACAAGCGATGTATATTGTTTTGGAACGGTATTTAGCTGTCTTTTGGGTAGCACGACAATCACGTAGAGTTTGAACTGGTAACTTTTGTTTTTAAAGCAAGTTTTTAATCAAATTTTGTACTGAAGCAGCTCTATCCTGTCACAAGACCAGGCACAAGTAACACGCCGATCAAGCAGCGACCAACGCGTACTCTTGTTGCAATTAATTCGAATTATATAGAGTGTGATCTGATTTCAGACAGGTGGGTCTAGTGCTGGCCTTGTGATGGTCTCTCTGGCCGTCTCGTGAATCTTGTGATGTCCTTAGAAGTCTCACCTGCTTAGACTCCAAGTACTCCATTCCCCGCACCACCTGACAGGCAAAGGTAAGAATCTCCGTGGGGGTCAGGTTGTTCTTTCTCACCAACTCGTTCTTGTTCAGATTCGTGGGATCCGTTCCCGTTCGGATCTGCCTCAGGTAGGTCTGCAAGTTACCATGCGGTACGTACTCAAGGATGATGTACATGGGATCTGCAGGAAGGAACACCCAAATGCATGTGGAAATATAACCATGTAGTAAATGCATTAAAAAAAAGCCTGACTGAACATGGTGAGGTCTACTTGCTGGAAGAAAAAAAATAGCCATGAAGTGATATTTCGCTCACGCAGTTAATTGACTACTCTAAACAAAAACGAGAAATGGCAAAATACTTGCCCACAGAAGTTTTGTCAAAGATAAGAACGAATAGCCAAACCACATATTTCAACAATACTCCTCTTCAAAATAGTACCTTTATCGGTGCAGCATCCAAGCATAGATAGGACGTTGGGATGTCGGTCTAGCATCGAATACAATTGAAGTTCTTTCTGGAAATCACTCTGATCGTTGGGAGTCGCAGTTTCTGAAACAACAGTTTCGGAAAGCACTTTTGTGAAAAAGGCGTTGCCCACTGAGTCCCATCACCAGCAAGCAGAGGGGGGCAGAAATATAAACGTTAAAATGGTGAAACGTCTCCATAGCAACGACATTAAATCTAACAAACAACGAGCAAAATGGCATGGGGAACACGGCAGGCGCTGCAGGAGGGTGTCAGTACAGTAACACCACGAACACCATTTGCCTGGCAAGGAAACCTGCATGTGTCAGAATGCAGCACGTGGAAATGTGGCCATTTTGAAGGCGCTCTGTTACAAGAGGGCGCTGCTTAAAAATGAATGCGGGTGAAGGCACCCTTCCGCAGAGGTTGTACTTCAGTGGAATCCGTCGGTTTGAGGGGAATTTTAACTTGGCCCGCAATAACTTTTCTTCTCTGTTACTAGGGAGGCTGGCCCGGTTTACCTCAAGGACTGCAAGCAACTATAAGGGCATTCCAACTGTCGTTGATACTAATTTCCTGTCGATTATTATTGAACCAGAGACAAGGTAGCCAGAAATCTCCAAACACACACCTTTTCACTGGTGTTAAGACGCAGTTTGTCAAGCACATGTTTGGCAAACACAACTATATTGCGATGTACTAAAGGGCCAGGTCATCCAACACAAAAACAAGAAAAAAACTAAGCCGTAGGCCCTATCCTCTTTGAGTGATCCCTGTTCACCACTTCCCAGGTTGTATCATGCAATTGGGGTGTGATCCCTGGCTACATGGTGTTTCAGGTTTAATGGATTCTGGCTAGCACCCTCCAAATAGAGATATTGACAAATGGGGGAAGCCACCAACATAGGGCAGGATAGCTCAGGTGGTAGAGCACTGGTACGGTGTTCCAGAGGTCACAGGTTCAAATCCTGCTCCAGTTAATTTCTTTGTTCATTTTAATAATCATTTATAAGCACCTTGTCAGTTTCCCTATATACACTGAACAGCAAAAGAAACTTGCCACTTCTGTCAACTGTGCATGTCAATTTTTTCTTTGTTATAAAGATAATCACTTGCTTTTGGGCGTGTGATTAGTAAGGGGTATTGCAGCATACCTGTGTACAAAAATGGTTTATTTCTATGGAGTGAATTTTTATGTGTGGCAAGTTTCTTTTGCTGTCCAGTTTAGTTTCTTTCAAGAATAAAGCTAGCCATCACACAGAACACCAGCAATGCACTGCTACACGTGACCCAGATGGTATACCTTTCAACATCTTGACGGCTACTGTAGTGTTGGTCCCCTTGCGTACTATACCCTCTGCCTCAGCTTTGTAAACTACAGCGAACGACCCGCTGCCTAGCTGACCGAAGATGTGCAGTTTATCTCGCGGGAACTCTTTTGAGCGTGCTCCAGGTCGCTTCACGTAATCATTCGTCTTTTTCTGCATGGCGATTTTTAAAAGTAGGGAGTGAACATGATGACTCGATCAATTTTAACATTTATAAGAATCTCGATGGGACGGCTAAGCGACATCGTTTAGACTGGTCGGAAAACCACCTGTTTTTTGTGGGGTTTTTTTGGGGGGAGGGGGGATCAGTGGCGTAAATTTGTGCTAGAAATGGGAGCGGATGGGGGCGGGCAATGGTGGGGGATGATTTGTCCAACCATGAACATTTGAAATGTGGGGAGCGGGGAGTGACACCATATGACTCTATGCAGAGGTCGATGTTCACGATATGATATACATCTGTAATTATGTGTTCAGGATTGCAGATATATGGCTTTTTAAATAGTTTCTGCCTGTTTTGAGTGACACCAAATGCATCCTAGTCGTTGGAAGTCTGAACAATTCTTCATAATCCACTTTATAATGTTTCACTCCCGGCAAAAGAGTGGGGGGATGGTTCAGTAGCCCATCTCCCACCTCAAGAGGTGTTTGGGGATATATATATACCCCCATCCACCGGAATTTACGCCCATGGTTGAAGTTTTTCTCTCTTTTTTGCGAGTTGTCTAAGAGTCTCAGATTTACTGCTGTCTTCTTTTACTGGATTCAAATAATAATAATACATAAAAGTTATCAATGCCCTTGCATCTGTCGGGTCGGCGAGTGACATTCATGGCGCAGCACCTAATTCTGCAAACTTATCTAGTAATCTGATAATGTAATTTATAGTCAGTTTTATAATGCAACCCGATTAGCGGATGAGGGGCATACAGCCAAACTGCCACACCTCCCAAAGGGAATCGTTTTAAATAATGAGACAAAGGGGACTTGGGGGGGTCATGTATTTTAACTCCTTCCCGAGACCGTAAATTCCAAATTTTAGCCCCACCCCTTAGAAAGACCATAAAAGTTATACCAAGGAATTCCCTGGTCCCCCATCAAATAGATGGTTCTCGATCCACATGAGACACCAAACCTGGACAGGCTACGGACCAAGTAATAGTCGTGATTCTAAGACCTTCCATTACTTCCACGACGTTAACTATCACACGTACTGTATATATGTACCTTACGATTCATTATCAAAGGAAGGTCTTGGTTATTTTATAAAGTCTTGAGCGGCAACACATATTGAAATAAAGATAGGAGAGGCGTTATTCATATCACTTGAGTTATGATCGCTGAAAGGTGCGCAAATAACTTTTCATGCTTGGTGTTCACGAACTACGTTTTCCTATTTAAACATCCGCTAACATCATGGAAAACTGGGGGTTTTTTTGGATGCTCATTGCTAAGCACTCACAAATATCCTTTTATAGCCTGGGCAGGAGCCAAAAACTTGCCTTGAGCACACATAACCGATAAAAATGAGCCACTTTCATTTTCCCTGTCGCACCGTGCACAGTACGTTCACGATGTATGCCTCTGCTCGCCTCGGCACTGCAAATTTGGTTTCTTTTCCCCAAACCTATAGAGTATCAACGAAAAGGTGGATATGCGAAGTTTCTATAAAATGATCTATTGGCGTATCTTTAAGGCATGTTACAACCACCTAAAGATGACACTTTCTGCGGAAATGTTTGGACCTCGACATTGGAACGTCGAGTTTGTTTTCGATTCTCGGTTGAGTGACGTCATGAACGTATATGAATTCTCTCAGTAAAGACTCAAACGAAGCCATTGATTGGTTCCCTCGGAAAGTCGAGAAAAAAAAAGGGAAAACAAAATGTCCAAGACCTTCCTGTGATTGCAATACGTGTGGTGAGAGCGTCCTCTAACAGTGCACGTGTGATGGTTCGTGTCGCGGAAAAACTAGACCCACTGGAAGGTCTTGGGACCAAGGCTAACCAAAGTTACTATGGGGGTGCGATTTAACATTGTATGGGTACCAAGTTCATGCCAGTTGATACGTGTGAAATATGAGTCATCTCTGTTTGCTCAGATAAATGTGGAAGGGAAAAAATATGTACAATGGAACAGACACGTCCTTTCATTTCAATGTGGTTACATTACCTTCTCTGTAAGCTCCTGTCCACGTCCCTTTTCGGCAGTTGACGACTCGTCGCCGCTGCGCCTTGGTCTTGCCCTTCTGACGATGCAAACGACGACGACAATCAGCACCACAATAAGGACGACCACGACCACAACAACGACAATGATGATTGTCGTAATATTGGTGCTTTGGGGTAGATCTGTGTCAAAGACGTATTAAGTCTTTAGATCTTTTTTGAAAGTATGAGTTGGGGGATGTAGAGTACCGAAGTGTGACGTCATTTTGAACCAGGAAGTGCATTGCAAACGGTTGGAGTAGGCAGGGTATAATTCGGTGGCATTGCCAGGAAAAAAAAAACAAGCTTACTTGGTGGTGGTTATTAGACGTTTGCACGAAGTAAACACGAGGTCGACGGTGCGAGTTTTCCCGAGTTAGCTTGTGAAGTTTTCGCAAACACTTGGACAAACACATACTGTGTCAGGTTGGGGAGTCAGGTTGGCGTAGCGGTTCTTTCCTCGCCTTCCACCTCTGCGGCCCGGGTTCGAATCCCGGCCCGGTCCACATGTGGATTGGGTTTTCAGTCCCTGCCTGATTCTGTGGGTTTTACCCAGAATATTTCTTTGGGGTTTTCTTCCCACCTCTAAAACTGTAACTGCTTCTCATTGTCTCCTCTCTACAGGTTTCTTCAGGCTTGCGAGCTACAGTGCCTAGGGTGCTTTTGAGGAATCCTTGGTGTCATTACCAGAAATTTAATAATAACATACACATCGGTGAAAGGGCAAAAACCTGTTATTAAAAGTTAAAACTGACTGTGTAACAACTCATCATGCTGGAACAATTTACTTAATCTAGACACTAATCAATTTCTTAAATGTCTAAAACTATAAATTGCATATGTTACAAAGATACTCTCCAAAGGCAAAAGAGTGAAAAACTCCTTCTCAAACAAGTGCGAGTCACTTATAAACCACTCCAAATGATTGAAAATCACTCTAAGATTGGAGCAACATAAAGGACAACTCAATGGTAAATGTAGAAAGAAGTCCCAAGCGCATTGCGGGCCCTTTGGCATGCACAGTTGTGATAACGCTGTTAGGCATTCATACCCTAGGATATCTCCTTTATTTTGGAACACTGTACTCACTTTGACAGTTGTTGCCCGTGGCGCCATTTTGGCAAGTGCAGTTGTGCATGCCCCCTAGCTGTGACATGCACACTCCACCATTTTGACAAGGGTTGGGCACACAAGGATCCTGACCTTGATCTAAACAGGTATTGTGAGAGAGACGAATCAGAATTGATCTTTATTTGTCATGAATACTTTCAGGACTCCCTTTTTGAGCTAGACAATTTTCTGGACAAGTTTTGGCAAAATGGGCAAGTGTTCTCGCGAGATGTCCATTTTGAAAAGATAGTCTGGTCACATAATTTCTGCTGCCCGATCCACGGACCGGCACACGTATGTTAAATGACGAACAACCATTAAACAACACTCTACGTTAGGGTTTAATGAAATTTCATTAACGTGCTTGCAGTTTGGTGTTTCAGTTTGCTTACCGAGATTCCAAAAGATCTGCTCCGGGACTAAGGGAGCTCAGGGGAAAATTCACGTAAACAAAATACAAAATAAAAGAAAACAACCAAAAGGTTGTTGTAAGTGAAAACAAATTCCACTCAAACATGTCCCATTTCCTCCTGACTTCAGGTCCGAGAACACAGAGTTTGAAAACTAGGACTTTGCAGCCAAATCCATCACAAGTTAGTCACAAGTCCTTTTCATTAACCAGTCACACGAGCAGTTACGAGAAACGGATGTAATGAATGGCAAAGAGGTACTTTGACACGGTACGTGTCAAAGGTTGTGAATTGGCTGACGCCTGGATGAACTATTACAAAATGGCGGTAAAAGTGCAGGAGACTTTTACTGCACTAGGGGCAGTCCTTACAGCATGGCTGGAGATTTCTTGTCGCATGGGGTGGAGCTCAGGACGGCCTCCAACCCCAGGTGAGATTGTGACGCCGGCAAGTGAGAAGTCGGTGGCGTAGGGTACGGGTGCGCCGAGTCAGTGACTTAAAATATGTGGGGATAATAGCATTGGTAATCCCCAGCCCCCAACGGGATCTCCGACGTGCCTCACAAGGACATCCGTGTACTCAATTCCCAGTTGATGCCCGTGGTTCCATTTGGACACGCGCATGTGTACGTTGCACCCTGCGCCATGCATTTTCCTCCAATTTGACAGGGTGCAGACAAGCAAGGATTGAATCTAAAATTTGTAGCGAAAAAAGAGCGGGGGCTGGCGTTTGTCGGTCTCAGAACTTCCTATGCTCCCTAGACCTCAAACTGGCAAAATGCCCATGCTTTAATTTATAAATCAGAGGTTAAGCTGGGATTACAGGTCAAGTTTGTGAAAAGCTGTTTAGTTTTGACGCAATCTAAATTGGAAGAAGCCCGCGACCTTTTTATAGCTGCGTAATCTGCATCTTCATCTCGATGCTAAATTGTCATTTCCATCAAAAAGGTGAGTCTCTTCTTTCTAATGTAAAATTTAAGTTCACCGTAGACTCAGATCAGTAAATGAAACTCATTTTCTTTGGGAATCCTGTCACACGGGTTTAATAAAGCAGTTGCAGATCATTTGGGGGTGTCCGAAGCCCTCACCCCCCGACCCGGAAAAGACATTCAAAAGTAATGATTACAAATAACTGAATTAAGTGCATTCAATGCCGTTGTAATGACTGAAAGGCATATTTTCATCATTGTTCCGGCTTGTCCGCAAAAATGACACAGGAAGGAAAAAATCTCCAGCCTGACACCCCCGGAAAATTTCGTGGATCTGCCCCTGTCTAGCCACGCTCAATCGAACAGGGTTTTAATGGAATTCACATTGCAGCTAGCGGGGCAAGACTTCTAGCCATCAAAACAAGGTAAAGAAACGTAAAAGCAGCTCACTCTGACATTCGCCCCCGCTGAAGCCGGTAGGACAAATGCATTCATACATATTCCCAGAGGTGTCCCGGATGCACGTGCCGCCGTTGCGACACGGATTGGATTGGCATGCGTCAGCTACATCAAGAGGAATAAAAAAAAAAGAATTCCGATCAAGTATAAAACTTCTGTCCAAAATGAGTTTGAAATGGTCCACGAGCACCTGTGGCATAGGGCCTACATCAATATCAGTGAGATGGGCTACGGGTGGAGTATTCAATCACAGGGCCGACTTTCCCGCCATTTGCACGCATGGCTCTTGTGTCACCATATAGTTATCACATTTCCCAATTGGAAAAAAAAAAGATTGCTTGCTCAACTTCCTTAATTATCTTGTCTTGCTGTTGTTTCAATCTTACCTTTTACCGTGATACAGAGCAATTGGTTTGTGGTTCAATTTATTTTCCTCTGTTATGCCTCAGAAAATCTGTGTGCGCAACGCATTCAAGCAGAGGTAGAGCACGGACGTAGATAAAAAACCCTGGACTTGCAACGCTTTTGTATGAAACAGAAGCCAACCAGCGGCCATTTTACCGAGCCGAATGCAAATGTGCCGGTTGGCTCCCTTCTATTGACGTCAGGAAGACCAAAGACGGGCATTGCCAGGAAAGCTTTGTATTCGGCTAGGTAAAATGACCGCGAGTGAATTCAATGATCTCTATAAGCTGATCAGGGGCATTGGAGTCCAGAATGTTTTTTTTATATACGTCCGTAGAGTCTCTATTATTGCGATATTATGGTTTCAACGGGTAGAGGCTTTAAAGCACTCCTAACTGATTCCGTTTTCCAGGCTTCTGCTAAGATGGGAATAATTGCACTGCGTCACGTTACACTTATTAATCCGGCAGGGAATTTCTTTTTACCTTGCTCCTAAATGCAGTAACAACGCGTGATTGCAGAAGGACACTTTTTGAAACAGATTTTACCGTAAACGAAAAGAGAAAGTATCTCCGCTGCCGGTTACACACCTTTAAAAACAGGGTCGGTAGGTCATTGTTATTATCATTGTGCTGATTGAAGGGGCACGAAAGCAACTCAGTAAAATTACCAAAAAGTGGAAAAGCCTGCCTTAAAAATGTAGAAGTATCTTCGGTCGACTACTCTCATAGGAATAGTGGGCAATTCATATAAGTAAGGTTAGTCGTGTCATCACAGCGGAAAGCTGAAGAGCAATGTCGGTATGTACCGCATCATAGTAAGCGTGCTTGTTGCGCCTAAAGGGGCGAGCGATAAATGTCGTGCTGCGGCAGAAAATTTCGTGGAAACACGCTCGCGTCAGGTACGAAAAGGTCCGAATAACTTTAAATTGAATACATGAGTAGGGCCTACAGAACGTACATACACTGACAAGGGAACGTGTTTCCAGGCTTCTGCTAAAATGGGACTTTCTGTCAACATTTTTTTTTCACTCAATGTGCAGCTGTAGAGCTGTGCACATTATGCACGGTGTATTGTAACAACGCTGCTATGGCGGGGATGCATAGACTGGTTGCTGCATTTCTATAATGCCTCCTTTGGTAATGGCGCAGCATGACGCGGCGGGAATCAGTGCAGCATTGCTTCAGTGCAATGGGTACTGCGCACGTGTTTTCACCTCCAAGACAGCAAAACGCAAAGGGGGCGTGTAATAATAATGGACGTTTCTTGGGAAGACTTGCAAATTTCAGTAGAAGAAAATTCATACGACGATTTTGATATATACAAAAGTTGTTGAAAAAGGGGTTTTACAGAAAAGACAACACGCCTTTTTTTATTGGTTCTTCTGTAACTTGTTTTTCTAACTTCCTGATAAAAATTTTAGGGTTGAGCCGAAAAAAGGTCGGTCAGGAAAATGGAAGCAAAACTTCCTGTTTGGCCTTAAATTTGATTGAACCAATGGTGGAAAGACAGGAACGATTATTTTTTCAATGCTTAGGCTACAATAATTAGATAGCAACCTACCCCCCCCCGGCAAAATTCCTGGATCTACTCCTCCCTAGCCACGCTTAATCGAGCAAATTTTCATGGAACTAAAATTGCATCTAGTGGGGCAAGGCTTCGAGCCATCGAAACAGGGAAGAGTTGAAGAAAATTAAGTTTGAGCGACTCACTCTGACATTCACCCCCGCTGAAGCCGACAGGACACGTGCATTCATACATATTCCCTGAGGTGTCCCGAATGCACGTGCCTCCGTTGCGACACGGATTGGGTTGGCATGCATCAGCTGCATCAACAGGAATAAAATGTATATTTAATATATATTTATAACAATTTAAAAACAAGTATAAAATGTCAGTCGATAAGGGGTTTGAAATAATCCTCGAGCACCTGTGGTGTACATCAACATCGTGGAGTTGGGGTGGAGTGTTCAAACACAGGGCCAACTTTCCCGCCATTTGCCATATGCTAGTGGTCCCATAGTCACAACATGTCACGATCGGAATAAAGATTGCTCGCTCAACTTTTTGAATTATCCTGTCTTAGATGTTGTTTCACTCTTACCTCTTTACGTAATGAAATGGTTTGAAACAGATTTACCGTAAACAGAAAGGAAAAGCACAGGCAGTTAGGCCATGAAAAACATCTCCGCTGCCGACTACACGCCTCTTACATATAGGGTTGATAAGTCATTTGTCTAATATTGTTATTGTGCTGATTGAATGGGCAAGAAAGCAACCAGATTTACCCAAAAAGTGACGAAACTTTCCTTAAAGATGTAAAAGTACACAGTCGACAATTCTTAGGAAGTATGGACAATTTATATAAGTATGCATAAGGTTAGTCATGTGATCAAGACGGAAAACTGAGCAGCAATGTCGGTATGTACTGCATCATAGTAAGTGTGCTTGTTGCACCAAAAGGGGCGAGCGATAAATGTCGTGCTGCGGCAGAAACTTTTGTACACTGGAAACACGCTCGCTTCAAGTACGACTTTGAACTGAATGCATGAGAATTGAAAATACATACATGGACAAGAGATCATGTTCTGTGAATTGCAGAAATCTGTTTTCAACATTGATTTTCTTTTCCCGATGTGCAGCTGTAGAGCTGTGCGCATGCACGGTGTAATGTATCAACACTGCTTTGGCGGGGATGCATAGACTGGTTGCTGCCTTTCTATAATGCTTTCTTTGGTAATGGCGCAGCATGACGCGGCGGGAATCAGTGCAGCATTGCTTAGTGCACGTGTTTTTCGCCTCCGAGACGGCGAAACGCGAAGGGAGCGTGTAATGATAATGGAGTTTCTTGGGAAGAGTTGCAAATGTGAGTAGAAGGAAATACATATGGTGGTTTTGATAGAAAAGACAACAAGCTTTTTTATTGTATTTATTTATTATTATTATTATTTTGGGTCTTTTTTAACTTGCTTTTTCAGCTTACTGGTAAAAATTTTAGGGTCGAGCCAAAAAATAAGGGTCGCTCAGGAAACTGCAAGCAGAACTTCCTGTTTGACCTTCAAAAATATCTAATGTTTCGATGACGTTTAGTTTGATTGCACCAGTGGTGAAAATACAGGAACGATTATTTTCAAAAATGCTTACAATAATTTTCGTGAATGTCTACAAACGAAACAGAACGACTAAATTAAACCTGAATGGCGACACTTAAATCGTGCGCACAAGAAGACGGAATTGAATGCGATAGTAAGGAAAAAGAGACCACAGCATGGACAGAAATATAAAAATCGGTACCAATTTGAATTTGTATTTGCGAGAATACACTTATTTTTATTGAAGTTGACCAGGGAAACCTGTACCGTTGATTTCCAAGCACTGTTACGTTTTATCACTCTTTAGAAGCCCAAGAAGAAGATGAGAAAGATGGTTTACTGTGATGCTACTTACTCTGGCAAGTGCCCCCGCTGAAGCCGACAGGACACCTGCAGTCGAACATATTCCCCGATGTGTCACGGTGGCACGTGCCGTTGTTGTGACATGGATTGGGCCTGCACGCATCATCTACATCAACAAGAATCACAATTCATGTGTAATGAGTAACAATTCCACGGATATTAAAAACCCTGAAGTGAAAGCTGAAGCATCGAAAAGGGACCTGATATGAAAAGGGAATTCGACTAAGTCCAGAGTAAAATTGCCAGTAGCTCCCCAACAGATCTAGATTCCTCAGCCACTCTTTTCATTAATGGTGATTTTCTGCGTCTCTTGAATATTTTAAGCACATTATCGGCTAAATATCCCATTAATCATTAAGCTCATTAACAGTGAAGTGGACGAGTCTTTGTTTTGTTCCAGTCAATTGGCAAGCTTACTCATCGCACAACTGCACACTCATCAATATGACGAGAAAATCACCTGCAGTCTCAGCGACTAGACTGCGCATGCCCTTGTCGAAACAGCAATGTAGAAGAGTCTGCGTAAGCTTGATAAATGCACGACCTCAAACGAGGATAAACATGACATAGCTTTGAGCTTGAAGTGTCTGAAATGACCCTTTTTGTCTTGGCATAAAGTTTGCATTAGCAAAGGTGCGTGTGCAATAAGCCTCACTATCCCGTGTGTGGTTGCTGGCTATATTTACCCACTAGATAAGCATGTACATCATTTGACAACATACATAATATCGGGTTTTGCCCTTACCCAACGCATAATAGATTTTGCTACCTGTTTTTCGAGATGTATTAAACTGGCGGGTAGGGTAAACTAATCAACTTGTGTCCCATGTGGTTTTTGTCAAACATAGGCAACACCTCTGCCTTGAATGTGAACAATCTTAGGGCGATTCGAAAACTTAGAGATCCTATCATTCCCGAATTGAGTGCTCGTCGTCTCATCTCACCAAATGAAAACCGATACACTTCACGGGGAGCAGCCACACAGTGAACCATTACACGGAGATAGGAAAGTGGATACAGACGAAGAAAAACAAGGTGATTGGTTGACAGAAGTGCTAATCTTGGCTTTAAGTTGTTATCGGACATTTCGATGTCCTGTGCATTCATACATTCATAATTTCACACACTAATATGGAAATGATCCTGTCCTAAACCAAATCGGACAAATTTTCTGCTCTACTGTTATTGAATTGTGAAAAACAATTTAAATGCACCAGTGGCGAAGCCGGGGGGGCAACTTTCCCCTCTTGACCTCCTTTCACTCCACAGGCTCTGTATTTTTTTTTTGGGGGGGGGGGCTGTTGCCATGCCATTTGAACACATTGTGTGCACATGCGCTACTTTAGTGTGTCCATATGCTTGACCTATTTTTTGGCAGGTTGTCAGAATAACCTTCCTATGTACAAACTTACAGGCGGGCGCGTGGGGGGGTGCATCCCCGTGGAACTCCTACCCCCTGCCCCCACCCCCACGAGTTTGGCCACTGTGAAAGGGTGTGAGAGAAGTAAAGGGTGGTAAAGTCCTTAGGACGAACGCGAAATCGGTTTATGATTGATTTTGCTATTCATCCATGAACAAGATTCTGGCTCTGCCTGAATCAACCAGTTGTGTTCACTCGAAATAAATTGAAAAAAAAGTATCTTCATAACAAGCGAGCTCGATGGTTTTCATGGGCAGGTATTGTAACCACATACGTTTATAATTACATGTACTTACTTTCGCAGTTCATTCCAGAGTAGCCAATAGGACAAGTGCACCGATAAGTCATGCCAGGGCTTGGCATGCAAGTTCCATTGTTAAGGCAAGGATTCGGCATGCAGATACCTAAAACTGGATCTGTGTGAGGAAGGGCACAATGTGCAGTGTAAAGCAGTGTGGTATTAATTCGAAAGACGCATTAATGACTGTGTTTACCTCCAGGGTGCCCCGACCGTTTCTGAAACACAAACGGTCTATTGCATGCAAGAATTGCAATCATTTGCAATCATATGCAATCATTTGCATGCAGTTCCTGTCGAGAGAAATGCATTCTCTCAAGAAGTGTCACCCGACGAAACCGTTATGAACACCACCCGCACTGCAAAATGAAATGGTGCAGGGGTAGGGAATTGATACCTTTAATTAATGCATGTTTAAAGGTAATATACACCATTTGAATTTGCTGGAATTTTTCAACATTTGGCCAATTTATATGGGTTTGTTATTCACTTTGTTTATCTTCCCGTGGACTCACTTCAAGCTTATTCCTCCATGCTTCAAGGCATCTCAAGGAAACACAGCTCTAGTAATTTATCATGCAAACAACAGTTCATGTGCCACTGGGCGTTCCTGAGTGTCTGGGTTGTGCAAAGGCGAGGTCGATCCACATATAAAAACACAGCCCTCCAAAAGTGCATCTGTTCACTTTGAGCAGTGGTTAGTAAATGTACCTTCCAGTTTATGTCTCTATCATCACCCCAAACTAATTGTATTTGTGGAATAAGCATTTTGTTGTGCAGCCTGATTGCAGTCTTCGCAGTTATGGCTCAGCGATATGCACGTACGACAACGCGCCGTACAGACATAACGCCACGTGGAAGTTGGTCAACAAAGCCATCCACGCGCCATCAGCGCACACCATAATCATTTTTACACATCAATATTTGTGAAAACTACCCTTGCATTATGACAAAATAAAACATAAACTTCAAATAATGTATAGAGGTCGCATATTTTGTTCGATAAAACAGGCTCCATGGAACTCCGAAAAGGGGCGGCCATGTTGCCACAATACGCTACTTCGTGTGGACCATACCATTATCTTAAGGGGAGGTGGTGATTCGGTAACACGTGTGAAGGAAGGAAAACAGACTTCTTGACCCCACTCAGCTATTTTACATCTCATTACCAGTTAACACCAACAAATCCATTGGCACAGCGAAGGGGGAGGGGAGGACTGCCTGCCTGAGAGAACTCTGGCACTGCCCCCCCAGGGTCTATCTACGCCACGAACTGGAAGAAGGATACTAGGCTTATTCTGAAATACGGCCGTTTCACAATAGTGCGCCACCAAGAGTTTGCAACGCGTTGGCCAATCACAATGCTTGAAATTTGTCGCCCAATGCGCGTTTGGAAATGGTTGACAACTTTCGCGCGTTATGATCGGCCAACGTGTTGCAAACTCTCGGTGGCGAACCATTGTGAATCGCGGGTATTGGCTCTCGTGTATGCATGCATGTTTGCATATACTTCCAACCCTGAAATTAAAGAAAGGAATCGGAAACCAAACAAGGACAAACTTCTTCTTCTTCGCACGAATTTGCACGCGGTTTGCATGTTTTTCGGAAAGGAATGCTGACACTTCGCTTCTTGTGTTAAATTCGATAATCATTTTTGATCTTTGAGCGACGATCTAGATCGTCAATCTATTTGGTTGAGGTTGTCCTTAGCCTAATTCGGATGAGAAGTTTGCGAATTCTTCCAGGAAAACCTATATTTTCGCAATGTAGTGTGTATGTGTGTGTAAACATTTGCTCAGTGTGTTTTGAAGAACAATTCGGCGAAGTAAATGTACATCACCAAAAGAAAAGTGAAAATTCTGACAAGACCTTAAAAGTTATCCTTAATTCTCAGAAAGGCCAGAAGAGGTTATATAAAGAAGAAAGTTTTTGTCCTTCCATCTCCAAAGAATCAGGACCCGAATCAGTCTTTGTTACCAACCAAATACAGTGAATAAAATCAGAATGATCGTTCAGCAAACTTCAGCCGTTTCTACTAATTGGTTCGTTCGTACATAAAAGAAAGGACTTTTCAGTGGCTTCTTAAAGTTGCGGATATCAAGTTTTACCCGTGCAGTTCTGTCCAGTATATTCCATTGGGCACGCGCAAAAGTAGTCCGTCATACTCGGGCTTGCCATGCACGTTCCACCGTTCATGCAAGGGTTGGTCGCACAATACTGCGGTTGGGCGGGGACTGCGTGCGAGGAAACAAATAAAAATGACACGGTCATATCGCACAAATATCAAGCCACTGTGAAGTCATCATGTCTTCATTGACGAGGAGCCAAATAAGAAATAAACTACAGTCCAACACTGAGTATTAGCCCGCCACCAAAGCAATCTTTATTGTTCGGTAAAAGACATGTGTACACCGTGGTGTGAGATTCAGTCAAGATCTCTCTTAGGTAGATCCTCTACTTAATGGAGCCTGAAGGTAAAAGGTCACGCAGCGAGCTTCCGGAACCCTGGCGCGGTCATCCAAAGGGGATTTTACATTGGGCCGTCCTATGACGTTCCATGATTTATGGAAAAATGAGGGGAAAAGACTTATTCATACAAATATTTCAGATTCAAAATGTCCTAGACTGGCGAGCTAGAGTTCCAGTAGTAACAGTCAAGGTCGTCGTGGGTTCCATTCAAAAATAGGTTCTTGTTTTTCTGTAGCCGTGTCTCTAACAGTAAAGCTCTGAGTACTCCATCCGTAAACAAAAAATACATGGTAGGATCAATTCGAAGTCTCGGTACCATGATATAATTTACTCCAGAACTCGGCTGCCCCATGCCCGATGTTTTTTTCTTTATTAAACCTGGAATGCAAAGACATGTGTTATCAGCACAAAATGTGGATTCGTAACTCAGTCTAACAACCATTGGTTTTGTTGCGGCCATTTGAAATTCTAAGGAACACGCATTATGGAGGACGAAAAGTTGCCATCAGCTTTTCTGCTATCAGAGTGGTAGAAAAGCAGATTTTATGTTCTGGTAACATGCAATTTCGACGTTTCTACTTTTCTGCCAACTCAAAAAGCAGAACGAACATTGTTTGGTCATGCATTTTTCTATTTTTCTTTTCTGCTTCAAGACAAGCAGATTTTACTTTTTCTTCATTTGCTGGCGGCCGGAAATAGGCCATCTGCTTTTCTACTTCCGAGCAGGTAGAAATTTGGATCGCACGTTTTGACGACAACCGTGAATTCAACTTTTCTGCTTGTGTGATAACGGAGAAGCAGAGTTCACATAGGTTGCCGAAAAGTTAAAAACAATGTTTGACAGTCATTGCATTGCTACATTTCCACATGGAAATGTTGCAGTTCATTAGAATATTATTTTTCATATCATTTCATCTAAACGTTGCCCGCAGAATAAAGCCAACCGAGTCTGTATTGAAGCACAGACTAGATTTGCTCTCAATCAACCCTTTTGAAGATGTTCACGAAACCGTGAATTTGAGTTGGTGGCTTAGGTACAAGTTGAATGTCATCGGAATAGAGACTGTCCAGACTTGTGCAGTTCCGTTTGTTTACTCAGTGATCACAGGCAATGATAAGTTGAATGATATGATTCACAGTGTTTAACTGTTATTGTAATCTTATTTTCTATGGTAATTTTATACTCCTTTTATCCCAATCAATATTAATATCTCATTGTGTTTTGTGTAAAAAATTCGTAGTGTCGTTTATTATTTTTATTGTTTATCTATTAATCATTTTGATTGTTATATCTAGTCCCCAATGGTCGCAAGTCCATAACGAGTTTCAATGGATGTTGTAGACGAATGATAATAAACTTTACTAGGGCTTCATTAGTGAACAGGAGTTTTTGAGTTGATGCCAGTTGCAGTAATTCAAGTTTAAAGACGATGGTTTGTACATGTCTGACTCTGGGGGAAAATAATTAGAAATGACTAAAACAAGCACTCAGACTGGTTAAATGACTAACGATGGAGAGAATGGCGAGGTGTACAGACATTGTGGGGGTGTGGCAAGTTGTTTATTTTTTCTGTACAATGATCCAGGACAATCCTTTACCTTTTGCCAGGATCATTTTCCTAAATGTCAAAGCAGGGTACGAATCGAACTTGTTCCTTTGCTTCAATGCCCACACCCTCAATGTCCCGCTCTCCCGTTATTTTTGGTTTACACTTTCAATTATTCACTCCATCCTGCACTTTAACAAAAGGCTGACGCGCCTGACTGGTTGGCCATACAATTGAACTTGTTTGCAGTGAATCACAGGTATATGCAGCCGACTCCTATATCGCACGCAATTATGATAACAAGAGATTGCTGATTTTGACGGAGGCCCACTTTCACAGCATGTCCTGACGTGGGCGAGCAACCAGGAAGCTGGATACGAGAAATGTTACCCTGTTTTCATTACTGACCAGGAAATGTTTTAATTTGGGAAAAATGATGGCTCGTCTTTGAAAAAAGATCTCTTAGCTTCGGATTTAGAATTCACTAATTTCCTTAAAACGAGGTGAGGCAGACAGGCCTATTTTGAAGACTTCACCTTGACTGATTAACAATTTGTACACACTGTTGGTTGTGGAATCCGAGACACTGGATATGACATTAAAGAGTACTAAATGACATTTAGGGGAACACGAAAGCGTTTAGCTCCATCCAAACGAACCATCACTCTGAAAATCTTCCAAATTATTGACATCAAATTGAAGAAGTTCGAGCATCACTTACCGAACTGAAGTGCCGTCAGCAAAACACAGAAAGGAAGGAGTCTACCAAGGATCATTTTCACGGCAAAGGTATGTAAGGAAAAACCTTACTTGATTACATGTGAAACCGTCGGCGACAGGTTGGATTAAAATGTATCGGTCTGTTGGTGCTCTTCGAAAGTTTCACCCTGTCTGAAAATGAGTCAGTGACTGTTTACTGCAAATGGGTATCTTTTTGTCCATGCGACACAAAACAAAAGGTCGGTTGGGTGACTGATCGAGGTATACATGTACCACCGGCGTCAGGAGTCAAGTCAGGAATGCTGCCTTTTTGATCCACCAACAATTAAATGTACACCGGATAGCTATCGTGCCACGGTCCAACGCTGAGATGTATCACTGTGATACGCCTGATCGAGCACATTGTAAGTTTTGGGCTGACTAATATGAATTATTCATAGCCTTGGGTGTGTTTTCGTGACGCAACGACTCGTGTTACTGATTATGTTCACTTTTGGTTAGCCACGGCGTTGCGTACTGTGACCTTCTTTATGTCAATAAATTGAGGGCGCACTTCTCTTTAGGATTTCAGGTGTGCGGGCCGGTAACTAAAATAGGCCGATCAGGCTGCTTGCGCCAGCTAAATTACAATGTATATGCACTCAAATCTACGAAATTACGAAATAGAGCATTTTGTGGCTCATAAACTTGAAGGTTATAAAAAGACAGGCTTAGGTGACAAACATGAATGACAGCATGTGTCTGAGTGAGATTTAAAAAACCAATCTGTACCTAAAAATGGTTTATTTTTCGGGAAGTGTGATACATGCATTTTTTTCTTTTCTTTTCTTTTCTTTTCTTTTTTTTTCTAAAGGAGAGGGGCTTCACGACCGCTTTTTAGGGGCTACCTTCTGTGGGGAAAAAATCTTCCAAAAGTTATCAGTTAATTATTAAAAAAAGAAAATAAAACCGGGCTTTCATTTGACGGTGCGTCTGGAACTCCTGAGAAGCTGTGAAGTAGTTTTTTTTTTTTCAAGATTTCTAAGTTCAGGTATTTATCGCCGATGGCTATGGCAGCCTAATTTCCGGCCTGCAATCTTAAGATTTCACTCGGCCCTAACGCAACGCTGGGAAGTACGTCACAGGTAGAGACCCAAAAAGCATTATGGGCTATTTGCTGTCTTGCTCATGTGTGTAGATTTGGTGCATACGTATCAAGATCACTCGGACGCTGCGTTATCATTCTTAATATCAACTGTAATGATTCATGTAATGAGTGTAAAAATAAAAAAAAAAAAAACAAAGACAGACGCACCGTGACCAAAACTGCCCTCTCAAACATGGCGCATCTTGCTTTGTTATGCTTCTTGTTGTAAACGTCACAAGGGCAGCTTTGCCAGTCAGTCTATGGCTGGTCGTATACATAAAAAGAAAAACAAAGGTATAAAAAGAATCATGTAAATATCAAAACACCATTATAAAAACCTCTGTAAAATACTACTGCAAGACATTTAAAATGCCTCTCATTCTAACATCGACGAAATTAAAAGTACTTTTTATTTTGTTTTGTTTTTGTGTGTTTGTGTGCAAACTTCGATCATGCGTTCTTGCAAAATGACTGTGAATGTTTCAAGAGCTATTCTGCAACACGAACTCATTTCATCCTTTCGAAGGTGTGCCTCACTCATTGCTTCACGCACTCACAACATCACACGCCAGAGTCACGATGCTCTTCCTTTTGAACAAAACATTTGTGGGTTTTTTCTGTTATGTGCCCCCCATTCCCTGTTTTGGATTATACATACATGTGCACGCAGTTTTTCATATTCGCATCGACGTTGGCAAATAGTAGAGTGCTATAATCAACATGTTTTAGAACTATGTAATAGCTTGTTATTTTCCATATTCAAATACTGTTTCCCCTCTGGCTGTTTTGTGGTTTAAGTTTTGTGTTTACAATATCCACACAAATATCGTAGAATCGAGGGTATGAGAAAGAATGACGGCCAACGCACATACACAGGTTGACGGAGGTAGGTCATCATGACCACCTCTTCTTGTCTTTCTTGTTTTCCTTTTTTTCTCTCTCTCTTTCTTTTCTTTAACTGATCTAAGAAGCTAAAAAAATGAAGAATAAACTGGGGACAGGAACCAATGTATGAGAGGGAGACTCTCACGATTCACTTCGTTATTTTTTTGAAGTCTCTCATGTCTTCGATACTGATAATGCATGTAGTTTAGATGGGTTTGCTGAACTGTGCACCCAACTTCATAAACAACGTTTAGTAAATACCCTGTTAGTTCTGAGTGAATGTCGTAAAGCTCTTCATCCAATAGTGCTGTTTAAACCGTAAAACTCCTTCATTTACGACACAACTAGTCATAAACTCCGTGCTGCTTGAAACCAGATGATGGCGAAGGTCATGCAGCTTTCTGGCTGTGTCGCGATTCTGACAGTGGTGCACTAATTTAAAAACTTCGGAAGATTATGATGCGTGTGAGAAGTATTCGAAGCATGCATCCTAAACTCCACGAGTCAGTTCTGCATTGCCGGTATCAGCGCGCCTCTGAGCTGATTATACTATAGAATGACAACCAGCATAGTACTGAAATTATCGAGTTACTGATGGGCTTTGTGCTTTAGGTCCTATAAATACAATAGACCGATTGCACCCGTTGAGTTACCTGACTCAGAGTAGTTATCAAACATCAGCAAACATAGCGTCCCCTCATAGTGATTAAAGTGCGTCGTACATGTAAGTCAAAGTAAAGCCGACGGTTGGTAAATTACTCATAATATTGATGTGCTGAGCTCTATACCGTAAATGTGCATTATTGTTGGTAAAAAATACTTTGGACACACTTTGCTATGGAAGGACGCCATGTTTATTGATATTTACTACCATTATATGTCACGTGACTTAGCTAAGGCAATTGGTTTATTGTTTTCCGGGTTCAACAGGTTACCAACATGATACAAACACAATCATTATTTATCACACTTTTCAAGTGATCATAAATAACAGAAATTTGTATGAGCAGAAAGCCCAAAAGGCGCCCAAAATCCAAAGGCTGGGTAACAAATGTACTCGGAAAATTCGGCATTCCCGGCTTGGTTAATTTGCATTCACAGATGGGACTTCCTGGCTAGGTTGAACATTTTCATTGATAAAAAAGGACAATATATGTATTAATAAGATTAACATCAGTCTGTGATTCCTTCTCCAATAAGTAGTCTGGTTCCCTGCCCAAAGATCCCTGACGAGTCCTGATAAAAAAGTCTTAGGTCACGCATCACTCAAGGATTTCAATAGATATGATGAAGGGTCAGGGGTCACATGTCACTTGTGGTGCACGTGTGTGGGTATTTGCCAGTAGTCGTAAGGTCCTGATTCTTAATTCCTAGATTTTCCTCTAGGGAGATTACCAAGGATCAACAGCTGTCATTACGCTACGGGAGTTTATGTTCAACAGCTAGCCCGCCTACTCGGCTGGGAATAACCGAACGTTACCATCCGAACACGGCGGATATAGACGGGACGACTTCAGATTTGGCTATTTCTGGAAAAGTGGAGGAATTTCTCCAGTCTTGGTCACCGGTCATTTTGTGATACCGGACCCTTGAGGGTGCCCCGTGGTAAATAGGCCAGAAATATACCCGCCGAGCTCATTAATAAAGTCTATACACTCAAAATATTCTATACTGGAGAGTCTTGTATTGGGGAGTGGTGTTTCTTTGTAGCAATAAATTGAAAAATAGCCAAAATACCAGAGATCTAAAGTTCCAGATGTCACATATCACCTGTAACATGAAGAGCCTCGTGTACAGAGTCCAATTGTGCTCAAATTTAATTAGAAATGCCCCCAATCACCATGGATCCGCCCCAAAAGTGGGTATATCCACCACAAAATGAGCATCAATGGACCAAAAAAAAGAACATTTGTGTTAAAAAGGGAAAATATGTCCCGATTTGGTGAGGGAAGGAAAGAAACAAGCACCTTCAAGAAGGCATGCACACAGGCAACATGTTTTCTTATTCAAAACGTAAAACGCTATAGCCATGCACTACTCGTCAACCCCCGCGGTTCCTCCAATGTGCAATATTGTTTGTTTTTTGGGGGTTTTTTGGGTTTTTTTTAAGTAGTACTTTGGAGATATTCTGCTTCTCTTAGGTGCGCTACTGTGCCAAAATGTGAAAGTTGCCTACTGTTGTAGTGTCTAGGATATACTCTAGATTGAGGGCGCCATACGCAAGGTGCGCAGACCACTGGCTTGTATGTGAGAGACTGGTGCAAGTTTAAGAAAATGGGCCACAGCGCCGCGCGCTGTAGCCCATTATATATAGCGCGCTGCGCTAGCGCTATATATAGTTACCTGCACTGCAGGTATTGTACAAAAACTACAAGCATTGTTCGTTTAGAATTTAAGTTAGGATGACTTGACTCAAATGTGTTATGGGCTAATAACGAGTTGGTAAGTTGAGCTTCAAACGTGAGTGTTAGACTGATTGAAGTTGAACACCGTCACATGTGCAAAATAGTACTTGAATTTTGGTTTATCTGTGGTATTCTCCTGGTGGTATCACCGACACAAAATTCACGACGTACATAATACGTGTGTACCTACATCATGTACATGTATGTACTGTACATGTACCGGGCGTGTATAGGCTAAACAAATAAAAGGCCATATTAGTTGCCTGCGCCGGCCGCATTTGTACGCTGCCAAATTATCTGTTATTGGAGCGATGTGTCGCCAATGAACTGAAATATTTGTAGCGAAGAAGGTGGAGGCTATCAGAAGGAATGTAAACCAGTGTCTGAGTGAATTTTGGGTGAAATCAGTGCCCGGCTAAAAAGCAGCTAGGCTACAGTCTAGTCCATTATTACTTACATGTAGTCTTAGGCTAGCCATTTAAGCATGGTGGACATGCTGACATGGTGGCACTATTTGACGTGGGTAAATTTGAGCAAACACAAAAGGTTTTACCCAAACCAAATACCGCCCTCCCATTGTGTCTGACGTGCTTCTAAAGTAAAGTACCAATTGCTACACTGTATGCGTTGTTGGCATCAGTTTTCAAAATGGCCTGTTTCTCTGTGCTGGGGTGATCATACAATGTACAAGTGCGTGGATCAAAATATCTTTTGAAGTAATTTTAAAGCCAATAAAATTTGAAAGGAAAGTGAAGTTAGCTGAGGAAGAGAGCTTTATTTTGACACGTGTCTTGAACATCTGAGGGGGATCGTGAATTTGGGGACCCCATTCCTATAACAGAAGGGGGACCTACATTTTAACTTTTGGATTCCCCTAGGTCAATGTAGGTAAAGGACAGTGACATCATCCTTAATAACTGTAGGCTTGGCGGTGTGAAAAGAGAGCAGGGTTTTGAGTTTTGAGAGAAATTATGAGGGGGAAGCATAGGTGTTTTAAGACATGACACACGGTGGAGTCAAATTTGCATCTGGTTTTATCAGTAAAAGAGTCACATTTTCTCTTAATTTACATTTTTAAATTTAAAAAAAAAAGAGGGTCAGGGCAGTTCAGACAGCATTGCCTTTGGTTTTTTGTAGGAATGACGAGTTCTGCACAGATTACAAAACTTTGGGGTCCCCAAATTCACAATCCCTCAACTGAGAAACTTGTATTTTTACTGATCTTTTGAAGTTAGGGTAGGACCTACATTGTATTTATTACTGTTGTCTATGGTGCTTTGGTCTGCAACCCTACCTGCTGGGTGTGATCAGTTGATCAGCAGGATTACACCATCGTGTTGTGTTCCCAGTATCTGTCAAATGAGTCAATCCAGTGAAATTCTCCGACTTCCTTTACTTCTGTTGTTCAACATTGTTCAAAGCAATTTTCCACAGACCAAGTTAAGACAGAAAAGGCAATCGAGTGACATGGCTGATAGCCGAAGTCTTGGCAAATCATGCAGAGTGATTAACAGATCACACGAATTTCAAGTTATTGTGCAAACGGAACGATGGCAGCCAGCATACATGTATGTGATACATACATGTACATCACTTACCAGTTGGTTACTTCCAGATACAAGTAGCCATATATAAACTCTCATCAACACATTTTGGCTGTTTTGATTGTGCCAACTTACTCTGCCGTCACAGCTATTCGTGCAACAAAATTTTATGTATGGTGAAGTTCTTCTTGGTGAAGTTAGATGTCTGATGCGGAGGGTCGTTCATCCTTATATTAATTTTTGAGTATTTTGCCCATCCACACGACAGAAAATCAGCAGCATGTACTCCTAGTCGCTGTTACCTGAATGACAGCTTGACCAATTGCAACACAGCTCCTATCTTTTCCTTCTTGTTTTCCTGTCACCCGTAGATGAAAGCCTTGCTGTGATTGGCCCAATTTGCTTCCATTCCAATTACCAGTCATTGCTCAGCTTTCATTTTGAAGGGATCAGGAAATAAGTAGGAAAAAAGGAACTAGCTGTGTTGCGATTGGTGAAGCTGTCACGCAGCTGACAGTGACTGAGAGTACATGCCGATTTTCTGCAGTGTGGATGGGTGAATATGCAAGAATTTCACCATTTTAAAGAGGATATGAAAGGTTAATAAACCTTCCCATCAGACATCTAATTTCACCAAGAAGGCATACATAAAATTTTGTTGCACAAATAGCTGTGATGGAAGACAAAGTTGGCACAATCAAAACAGCCAAAATGTGTTTATGGGAGTTTGTACACAACTATCTGCAAGGTTTGTATAATAAACCTGTCAGTTCTGGAAGTACCAGTTGGTGTTGGGCGCCATCTGCATGGTTTCTTGATCTTTGTGCAATTGGTCAAACTTAAGACATGAATTTTGTTTATTGCTTATTTACAATTAACTTAGTCGGTAATTCTGCCATCTGAGTATCAGCTTTTCTTCCCCATTATAATTTATCCCTGGAACTATTAAGTTTGTTGCATGCTCCGCTGACATGTTTTGTGAAGAGAGCACACAGTGAGCCTCATCGTACTTTGGAGATGGCCGTGATTTAATGTTGTTGAGTATTTTGAAAAGGGGAAGCAAAGTTGGAGATCAGCTACACATACATGCACAGTGTATAGGATAGACTACCTGTAATCTTGCAACACAGTGGAGTGATTTGTAAAGCAGTGGATTGTGCCTAACTGCGGTACCTCTATGGGGAGTTTAAGGAGTGAACAGCTTTCCAGTTTCATATACTTCACCAAAATAAATGTACATATATATACCAGTACCTTCTCTATGGGGAGTTTAAAGGGTGAACGGCTGACCTGTTACTTCACCCAAATAAATGTACCATGCTTTGCCCATCAACCGTTTAGCCAATTAACCCTTTTCTGCACCTTAAGAGATGGGGGGAGGAATAGTTTTTTTTTCTCGATATCCTCACAATTCTTTTTTGGGTGAGCTGAACTTTTAGGTTTTACTGCAGTATTACATGTACCTTTGCCGTCATTTTGATAATGCTCATGTGAAAATAGCATGTGCTATTGTCACGCAGCTCCCATGTCCTAGACAGGATAGCCAAAACTGTATTCTTGATCACTGCCATGCTCAACGCACGCCGGCTGGTAAACGTGGCCTTGAAATTCCAACGACCCCTAACATGTTGGATTAAGTTGAAACTCTAACATTGTGCTGACTACTGACGAGAAGTGTCTCTACAAGGCAAGGGGTGAAAATCCCCCAATACCCATTCCCCACGGTGTCCCCGTTGAGAGATGACTCAAAATAACTCGGCCCAATAGGGCTAAGAGACAAGACAGATTTGAGTGTTCCTCCTGTCTTATTTTAAACCCATAGCCAGAGTTTCAGCTAAAAGCAGATTTTTTGCAGCCACTAACTTTGGGGGGGGGAGGGAATTGGGCCCAATACATGTGCACCTGCAGGCTGCATGTACACATTAACAGTCACATAGTATAATTATCTTGTTCCTGCAGATCTCCAAGATGACATTCCTCCTGCTATGTACATGTACCTCAATCCTCCTTCTCTCAGGGAACGGTGAGAATAATTATGTCTTGGCTGGCTTCCAACTTCTACATGTAAATTTTCAATCCCCAGTGTTTCAGCTCAGATAATTCATCTCTTGGACATGTTGGAGTAACTTTTAATGCAGTACCAATTATAAGTTTTTCCCCACCAGTTACCCGGATATGTACATAGTCCATTATTTAACAACATTTGTAACTGCAGGGGTGTGAGAATTCAGCTTTTTAGCCAATTTCAGGTTTTTTTGTGTGTAGATGCCTGACCTGACCCTGAATTTCCGCTTATTTGTACACCTGGTCTGTACAAAAGTAGGGAACATTTTACATTTCAGCTTTTCGCTAGCTGTTTTCAGCTTTAATTTTTAAGTAGCCACTCACACCCCTGAACAGGCAACAGGAACCCAACCTTAACATACAGGTAATCTTTGGTTTCTGTCACTCTTGTCAGTTGTCGCTGCGTTACAGTGTCACACGTGTGCCGATGTCGACCGCCACACGGGCAAGGCCTCCTTAACCTGCGACGATTTCTACCTCAAGAATCACACCAGGGAGCTGTTGCAAGGATGCGGCGAGCCTCCCTCTGGGCACACCGTCCGCTGCACTAAATTTGGCGGGCAGGCAAAGAAGGTGGAGCCCACAGGTAGTTATTGTTAGAGGGAGGGGGGCGAAGGGGAGGGGAGATTACCTCCAGCTTTCCTCTTCCGTAGAAAACAGTAGCCAATGTAACGTAACTTATCCTGGATTGAGTTGTTCCTGCTTTCTCCTTTACCTCTTCAGATGTACTTTATTTTCAGGAAGGTTTTCGCCAGCCTGGAAATAGGAAAAGTCTCAACACTCGTAATTAGTCAGTGTTTGTATCCACCAGCATTGTAGTGATGTCCATCACACTCCCATTCACAAGTCCAGCCACAAGACCGGGCACAGAAAACAGGGTCAACAGTGGGAAGGAATGCTTTCGTCACAATTCATTTGGATAGCCTGTGACTTGGCTGACTGGATGGCTTGCAATGGACTTGTCATGGAGTCAATTGCAGGATGGATGCCAACTTTTGACCGTGACTCTTTGTTCACCTCAGCCATGCCAGCAGTGTTCACACCCACTGGCACTGTAGCAGTGGGACTACATGTGTTGTTCCACAGATTTGTTGTGTTGGTTATGGGGGAGAAATGTTTACCCTCCGCAACGCAGTTCCTGAATTTCCTATCGGAAGAAAGTGTCTCCTGAACATGGCGCCGGCCAGGGCACACACACACGCATTGATTCTGTTGGGACCAAAAATGTAAAAGGACAAAGGAATGTACCCCTAACTTGGTTCTAATTTTCCCTTGTCTGACATTTTGATGGAACGTCCTTCATATAAAACACTTGATTTGCAAGATTTAAATACACTTTGAATATTACTTATTTTTGAGTACATATCAGTTTCGTGAAATTCTTGTTGGGTACCGTTTTAGTACTGTACAAGTATAAGGGATGTTCCTTGTGGGGTTA